CACCAGGGTGTTTGCTGTTGTGACTTTGATCTTCTGGAAGTCTTTTATGTTACCAGGCATAGTGTCGGCTGTTTGATACGCTCTTTTTCAGCTGAGCAACTCTCTGTTCGCCACAAAAAAGCTGCTCCACAAAAAAACAGGAGCACTTCTCTTTCTGACATGATGCAAATTCCTGAAATATCCCGAGATGACCCTGATTTTGTGTCTCATTGAGAATGTGCACTGGACCAGAGTTTAGATGAAGACAGTACATTCTATCATTGTGTTAGACCTCTCCAAATGTTTTTTTTCTCCTCATGCTTTTGTAAAAACAGCTACTTTGCAAACCAATAAACTTCTCATCTTGGAAATGTGCTTGTGTTCAGTGTCTGTCTCAAAATGCTCAGATGCTCAACACTGAATATTCACCCAGATGACAAATAAAACAAGTAGCTACATCCCTGTTAAACTCAATGACTGGCTAAAATAGACGAAGGATTCTTATACTATGAAATGTTCAGTCTTCAGTACATTTAACACAATTTTGCCTGCAGACTATGTTGTGTCTTTTAAGTCTTTAACTTTAAGCATTTTACCACAAGAACTCTTCCTAATTTGAATTATAATGGGTAATGTAAAAATGTATACACTCACCAGCCACTTTATTAGGTAGGCTACACCTTGCTAGTACCAGGTTGGACCCCTTTTGCCTTCAGACCTGCCTTAATTCTTGGTGTCATAGATTCAACAAGGTGCTGGAAACATTCCTCAGAGATCTTGGTCCATATTGACATGATAGCATCACGCAGTTGCTGCAGATTTGTCGGCTGCACATCCATGATGTGAATCTCCCGTTCCACCACATCCCAAAGGTGCTTTATTGGACTGAGATCTGGTGACTGTGGAGGCCATTGGAGTACAGTGAACTCACTGTCATGTTCAAGAAACCAGTTTGAGATGATCTGAGCTTTGTGACATGGTGCGTTTTTCTGCTGGAAGTAGCCATCAGAAGATGGGTACACTGTGGTCATAAAGGGATGGACACGGTCAGCAACAATACTCAGGTAGGCTGTGGTGTTTAAACCATGCTCAGTTGGTACTAAGAAAATCTCCCCCACACCATTACACCACCAGCAGCAGCCTGAACCATTGATACAAGGCAGGATGGATCCATGCTTTCATGTTGTTTACACCAAATTCTGACCCTACCATCTGAATGTGGCAGCAGAAATCCAGACTCATCAGACCAGGCAATGTTTTTCCAATCTTCTATTGTCCAGTTTTGGTGAGCCTGTGTGAACTGTAGCCTCAGTTTCCTGTTGTTAGCTGACAGGTGTGGCACCTGGTGTGGTCTTCTGCTGCTGTAGCCCATTTGCTTCAAGGTTGGACGTGTTGTTGGTTCAGAGATGGTCTTCTGCAGATCTTGGTTGTAACCAGTGGTTATTTGACTTCCTGTTGCCTTTCTATCATTTTGAACCAGTCTGGCCATTCTCCTCTGACCTCTGGCATCAACAACCATGCCACGTGCAAAGTCACTTAAATCACCTTTCTGACTGGCTGATTAGCTATTTGTGTCAACAAGCAGTTGAACAGGTGTACCTAATAAAGTGGCCGGTGAGTGTAAATGAAAAAATGTGAGGCACAAAACATTTTGTTTTTATTGAGTCGAATAGTATATTTACATGTAAGGTAAACTAATATAATTAATAGCTATTTTTTTTATTTTCTTTTAGGTAGTGGATGAAGCCAGTGGCAGTATTCAATTTTCTTTTGAAGTGTCCATTTAACATTTGCCCTCTAGGGGGCAGTGATACACCAGCATTGATGCATTGAACCTGCTCTAAATAAAATGAGACAAGAAGAGTTATATAACAGTGATGAATCATAATAAGTAGGCTATAGGGTACGTAGCATAGCAGGTTATGTTCATATGCTGTTTCAGCTCCAATAACTTGGCTTCTCCCAACGGGCCCTGAACGCAACACAGAATTTCTTCATCTTGGGATCTCGCATCTGAACGGAGCCTGTGCCAGCCTGCTGTCCCTTCTCCCTCTCACCTATTCCAGACGCTCCGGGTGTTTGTCACTAACCGGATGAGATTTGGGGTCTGGTGGAGAAAACGGTAGCAGATTACCAGGACGAGATTTCCCTGTAAAAGAGAGAAATCCCGCAGCTGCGCAGAGAGCTGGACGAGAGGAGACCCGAGAGGAGTGCTGTTGCAGGTCTGCAGGTCTGTACAGGTATGCCTACCTGTGTGCACCTGTATATCTGCGTGTAGTGGAAAGTAACGACCTACATACATTTACTCAAGTTCTTTACTTTAGTGTAAATCTGAAGTACTTGTACTTTACTCCAGTATTTCCTTTTTATAATTATATATGTAGCCATAGGTGTCACCCTGACCTCCAAATTCCCCAGATTACAATCTGATCAAGCATCCGTGGGACTAGCTGGTACCCAACCTTACAACCCTCAGTACTCAAAGGATTTGCTGCCAACGCCCTGGTGCCAGACTCCACAGGACACCCCTAGAGGTCCTGTGTCCATGCCTTGACTGGTCAGAGCCAAGTCCAATTCAAGGAACTCCCACCATGGATCAGGGGCAGGGGCGTACATATAGAAAGTGCAGGCAATGTGGTTGCACTGGGGCCCCTGAGGTGGGGGTATGTGCATGATAGTGTGCACTAGGGCCCGTCATAATAGCGTGCACTGGGGCCTATCATAAATACCTTGCACCACTGATCAGGGGTAAAAATGGGGGAAAAATATAAATTTCTAACAACTAGAGAAGTATCAACGGGGCATATGGGTGGTAGATCAGACAATAACCAGTCCAAGTCTGTTATCCAAACTGGAAATATCTTCATAACCTTAGAGAAATATCAATAATTCAAAAGACTTGTTGTTTCAGAACTCAAAAGTTGAGCTTTTATCAAATATACTTCCCCAGCAGGCTTAAGACTCTCAATAAGAACAGACAGGCAGTCAGAAAACAAAGACTGACTGACAGGAATGAGACCTATTCGTATTCCAGAGCTTGAGTAAATCACACAATCTGAGTGAGTAAATGTTGTTTCATGTTTAACAGATGGCCCTGGAGTGTCAGCCGAGATGTTTCCCTCTCAGCAGGAGTGGAATCCCAACATGGAGCCGCGGCAGAGCCAAGATCAATTATTCCAGCAGATCAAAGAGGAAGAAACGGAGCTCACAGCGATGCTGGAGGCTGCTCCCTCCAACTGTGTGAAACAACTTTACAGTGAAACAGAAGGAAGCGCCAACTGTCAGGCCTCTTCATCTCACTACTCTGCTGCTGTACATGTAAATAAAGAAGAAGAGATAGACACGACTCCAGCTCATGAAGCCTCCGTCAGGCTGCTGCTGTTTCTCCAGAGCACCTCAGCTCACAGGGAAGGCCTAGTGCAACATCTGTGGAAATATACTTGAGACCAAAGGAAGTTTATCTGATCATTTCAAGTTCTGTCACATCTGCTGTGCTTGCTTTATGAATGATGTCGACCTCATAAGACATATGGGTGAGAGCCATGCTGGAGAGAAGCCTTTTAAGTGCAACAAATGTGGAAAGGCATACCTGCGAAGAGACTAGAGGAGAAAAAAATTAAAGCTGCACACTGTCTAACTGGCAAAAATAATGATTTTAATGCTGCAACATTGCGGCCTGAAATGTTGCTGGAGTTTTTCCACAAGTTGGGGATATAATTTTGGGGCTGTGTTATTTATGATTATTTGACTGCTTCATTTTGAGCAAATGTTGTTTATGTTCTTTTCGTTGATGGTGAAGAAGCAAATAAACCTCCCACCATGCAATTGGTGTTAACATGTAGCCTATCATTTGTTCAGATGGTTTACAGACAGGCTGTAACATCACTACAGTTACATACAACTGAGGTGTGTCTTCAAAAGGTATATGTGAACTGAATGTAGTGTCATTGTTATTAGAATGAAATCTAATTTCCATTTTCATTCATTATTGATATCCAGGTTTATTTCCTTTGTTGTTTTTGACCTGTTAGGTACTTCATTATCCTTCAGTGCCTTGCTTGGATGACAAATTCACAGATGATCAACATGGGAAAACCAGTGTTTCAGATGTTTGCCGGTTTTGCCTGTCTCCAGAGAGCTTAAGCTGAGCCAGGTATGTTATTGAGCTTTACAAAGAACCATATATCCTCCTGAGACCCTGTGTCATCATGTGAGGACATCAGGTTTACTTGACCTTCAACACTTGATACTTCTTACTACTTAATGTAGACCTGTTGTCCTTGTTTGTGGACATTTTTTGTGCCATCTAGTGGTAGTGAGAGCACAATACACTAATCCATGCTAAAACAAGATGGCAGCCATCTCTGCCAAGTCAGTCTGCAGCTGATCCTGACACAAAAGTTGACAAGGTCCAAAACCTGATCACATTCTATGGCTGAAACTTGTTTGTTTATGATTAATAATGGTTGTAGTTCAATATAGCAACAAATCAATTTTTGATCAATTTTAGCAACGGTTACAAGCCAAGACTCTTGATTAGGAGGTACTGACATTTGGACTTAATTATCGTCTCGTTTGAGGACATTGGGACTTAATTATGTTTTGTTTTTTATACTTATTGGGTCCCACTGATCCCAAATAGTTAGGAGAAAATAAAAATGCATACCAAACAGAAGTACCAAACAGTGTTTGGTAATGCATACCAAACACTCACGGTGCAAGTGATAAGAAACCAGCTGTATTCCCATTGTTGTCATTCAGTGTTTTACAGTTGTACTGAGGGTTTAAAGTTCATACTTTGCTCAGAAAATATCAATTAATTATTACAAAGAAGGAAATAAAACCTACTTGTCGTTTTTTGCACCATGTCTTTATAAAATAAAGGTAAGACAGTCCAGCCCATTCGTTTTGTCCTGTAGCGGATTACCTAGAGTCATCCATGGCGACAGGGGGCGCTGTGGAAACATAGCCCTGTGCGTCATGACGTTGAACCGGAAGTATTAACTAAAGTCGCCCATTTAATTTACGTTGGTGAATTATGCGGCTCTCAATTCCCCCAAAGTTAATTTCTTAATTTTAAAGTTAGTGTACCAAACTCCACATTTACCGGCAACATAAACCGGTTTTCCATCATGTCGGAGATGCAACTGCTCAGACTGCTGGTCAACGAGCGACTGGCAGCGGCTGCCGAGGAAATCTTTGGACTCGTTGAGAGGACGATTGAGGAGTATCAGGATGAAGCTGTCCGCTCCAACAAAGAAGTCATCCAGCTGAGACAGCAGATCGAGCAACTGACAGTTTTAAAACCTGAAGTAGTATTATTCAGAGCAGGTTTGTGTCATCATGGCTGTATATAAGCTATGTAAGCTAACCGTTTAGCATCGCACGAGAATATACAGCACATAACCGTTGATTTGAGCAAACACTGGAAGCAGTAGTAGGCGTTTAGCATGTCCTCTTTGGTTTTAATTTAGTGGCACATTAAAGATACCTGACCAAAGCACATCTTACACTTGCACGAAGATCTTTGTGTTATATTACTTATCTATTAACCCAGGTTATATCATGTGTCCTCTCTGTCTTCTAGACACCCAGCTGGCCTCTGAGAAACTGCCTCCTTCACTGCAGCAATATGACAACAAGATGGAAGAGACCCCCTCTCTGAATGAAACAGAGTTTCAAAAGCACCCACAGGTCAAAGAGGAGCAGGTGGATGAATATATCAGTCCAGACGATGAGGCTGATACTTCTGAGGATGCTGGCCTCTGTAGAGAAATCAACCAACTGAAACAGCAGATCGAGCAGCTGACTGCTTTAAAATGTGAAGGAACACTATTCAGAGCAGGTGTGTGTCATCTGTAAATGTAGCAGCTGTCTGGTTGCTTTGTAGCTGTATAGAGTTGCAAGGTAACAGATTGTCAGCTGTTGATACTGGCATTGCTAGGTAGTAGCAGAAGAAGGTAGTTAGCATCGTACAGTTCCACAAAGATATTTTTTGACTGATGGAAAAAGTATTCAGATCTCTTATTCAAATAAAAGTAGCAACACTACATTGTTAAAATACTCTGTTACATGTAATATAGCATACTCATTATGCAAAATGACCCATTTCAGAATAATATGTATCATATTGCTGGATTATAATTATTGATGCATTGCTGTGTTCATCACTTTAATGTTGCAGCTGGTAAAGATAGAGCTCATTTTAAGTAGTTTATATACTGCTGGGTAGTTTAACCTATAATAATATGTCATTATTTTTTATCATAGCTTATCATAGCATCAAACATAGCCCGTCTCTGCCCATCACTCTCCCCCTCTGCTGCCGAAAGTATCATCCATACCTTCATCACATCCAGAGTTGACTACTGTAACAGCATTCCTTATGGTACATCATCCAACGTCCTAAATAAACTCCAATACATCACCTCTGTCCTGCAGAACATCCACTGGCTCCCTGTCCCACAACACATCCAATTCAAAATCCTTCTCCTCACTCATAAAGCCCTCCGTAACCAGCCCCCACCTCACCAACCTGCTCCACCACCACACTGCTTCCCTCAGTCTGATGCCAACCTCCTGACTCCACCACTCAGGACCATACACCAAACCTGGGGCGACAGAGTCTTCTCCATAGCCACCCCCTCCCTCTGAAACTCTCCCCAGACACATTTGAGACGCATCCAACTTTCCCGAATCACATCATTTATCAAAACTCATCCTCAAAACGGCTTTTATGTGTGAATGATGTCGTGTGTATTTTACAGGATTCTATTTTATGATCGCTTTTAACTAATTTAAAATGTCTTTGAGTACCATGAAACCATAAAATGGAAATACTCAAGTACAAGTACCTGAAAATTGTCCTAAAGTACAGTACATGTGTAAATATACTAAGTAACATTACACAACAGATAACCCATATTGTAATTCCAGACTTAATTTCACAAATTCAAAAATGTTCTTTTTGCTGGAGAAAATTGTGCAAATTCATCAACATGAATTAAACTGTAATGGCACATTGAAAACACATGACTAAAACACATCTTGCTTCCACTTGTACAAACGTACTTGTGTTAGATTTTACTGGGTCATTCACCAGGTAACAGCATGTGTCTTCTTTGTCTTCTAGACACCCGGGCAGTCTCTGAGGAGATCATGCCTTCACAGCAGCCAGACCAGCTTCCTACTGTGGAGGAAAAAGAGACTTATGATTCTCAGCAAGTCAGAGAGGAGCAGGTGGATCAGTGCATCAGTCCAGACATGGAGGCTGATACTCCCAATGTTACTGAAGTCAGATATCCTACATCAGAACCAACCATTAACTGTGAGCTGCTCCCGTCTTCCATGGATGTAACTGTGAGCTTAAACAAAAGCGTAGACAACAGCTGGAACCAAAGAGAAATTTCACCATGGCCTCCTCAGCATCACAGTGTTGCACTTTTCATTGGACTGGAGCATCCTCCAAGGGGAGAAAGATCTTGCCGTTTTTGTGGCAAACATTTCACGAAGGACTCTTATCTTATAAGGCATGTAGACACGAGTCACAACGGGCACAAAGCCTTTAAATGCCTGGAGTGCAACAAGGAGTTTGAACAAAGGTATTACCTTGTTATGCATACAAGAATTCACACGGGTGAAAAACCCTTTAGTTGTGATTACTGTGACAGAACATTCAGTCAGAACTCAAGTCGTCTTGTTCACATGAGAAGGCACACTGGAGAGAAGCCATATTTTTGTAACAAATGTGGCAAAAGCTTTGCCCAAAGCAATCATCTCAGAATCTGCAAAACAAGGAGTGAGTGCAACATCACACCGGAAGAAATGAATATATCTGAGGATCACAAAGACAGGAATGCTTTTAAATGCTCTGAATGCAACAAGGAGTTTAAGATGAGGCAACAGCTTGTTCTGCATATGAGAGTCCACACTGGTGAAAAACCCTACAGCTGTGACTTTTGTGGCAAAAGTTTCACTCAGAGCTCTAACTGTATTGTTCACATGAGAAAGCACACTGGAGAGAAGCCCTATTTTTGTAAGAAATGTGGGAGGAGTTACACTTACAGCCAGCACGAAAAATACTGCAAGGGCACACAAAACGAAAGCACAAACAAATCTGTTCGCTGCACAACATGTGGCAAAGACCTTCACACAGAGTCAAATCTGAAGCTGCATATGGAGGTTCACAAGTCATGGAGGCGACACATCATTGAGAAACGGCAAGGACAAGAGTAACAAGAGAAAAAACTTCAAGGTCAGTCAGTCCATTTTTGATAAAATGTGCAGTCCAGTATTAAGGAATGACCTGCTCCAGCTACAGCCTCTCACAGATGCAATATATTTGTTTAAACGTTGCTGAATAAGAAACTATTCACCAGTTTGTTTTGATACATTTCAAAGTTTTGGCTGAGTTAGTTATGATTTGACTGTTTAATATTGAGCAAATGGTTTTTGTACATTGGTGCTGGAGATGCAAATTAACCGTTCCAGATGATCTTCACTCCATGCTTTGTTCAACCAATTGCTGTTAACATGTAACTGGTGTTCAGATGGTTGTAACATCACTGCAGTTACATATAACTGAGATTGTGTCTTCAAAAGTTGCATTTGGATCCGTTTCATTTTTTCAGCACAGAAAGCAAAGTGATTATCAACATCCAGGTTTATTTCTTAAGTTGATTTGACCTGGTAGGTACTAAAGTATCCTTTAGAGCAGGGGTGTCAAACTCTCTGTAGTTCACGGGCCACATACAGTCCAATTTTTTCCCTTTTTTGTGTTAAGAATTACAAGTAGATCCTGCAGACGTTCATCCTTTTACAAAACAGATGAACAGCCTGAGATGTCTGAAGAAAAATAAGTTTAATTCAACAGTATGTCTCAGTTTTTCCACGTTCAGTCAGTTTACTTCCCACTGTCATTACATGTGCATTTATCCACACATTTCCTGATACAGATTCTTTTGAACTGAAGCTGCTGATTGACAATATTTCGCACATTGTTCAATATCTTTAAACATGGTCACAGTAAGTATTCATTGTTATATCAAAGAACTGTATCCTAGTCAGGGTGGAAAAGCTTCTGAAGCAGAATTTTGCATAAATTAGGCAACACATTGTTTAACTTGATTTTGAAACCTGGCACCTCTAAGTCTAGTCATCTAGTGGGCTACATTGGACCCATTGGTCGGCTGGTTCTGGCCCACAGGCCGTATGTTCGACACCCCTGCTTTAGTGCCTCGCTTGTATAACAAGTTCAAAGATGTTCGACATGAGCAAATCAGTGTTTAAGGCGTTCATCAGTTTTTCCTTGTCTTTATCCAGCTTAGACTGGGCCAGGAATTGTTGCTGTTGTGGCCCTGTAAGCCCATTAAAGCATCAAATGTGTTACTGAGTTTCACAAATAACCACATCTTCACACAGTGCAAATAATAAACTTGCAGTGAAACCAAACTGTGTTCCCTTTGTGCTCATTCAGTGTCTAACTTGTTCTGAGGGTTTTCAGTTTCATATTTTGCTCTTAAGATAACAATCAGCGATTGTAAAGTAGACAAAATAAAACGCACGAGTTATTTTTCATAGTTTGTTGATAGTTATTTGTTGTCCACTAGTGGCAGCCGTGAGTCCTCCACGGCGGCAGGGGGCGCTGTTGCAAATTAAATCTACGTGATGACGTTGAACCGGAAGCTCTAACTAGCGTCAAATTTTCAGTTTATGTGAACGAATAATGTGAATTTTGGGTCCCCAAAGAGTTTAATTCTTTATTTTGAAGTGCCAAACTAAACATTTAGAGGTAATATTAGCCGGTCTTCCATCATGTCGGGGACAAAGCTGCTCAGACTGCTGGTCAACGAGCGACTGGCAGCGGCTGCCGAGGAAATCTTTGGACTCGTTGAGAGGACGATAGCGGAGTATCAGGATGAAGCTGTCCGCTTCAAGAGAGAAGTCATCCAGCTGAGACAGCAGATCGAGCAGCTGACCGTTTTAAAACCTGAAGTAGTATTATTCAGAGCAGGTTTGTGTCATCATGGATGTAGCCTTTAGCCACTTGCTATGTAAGCTAGCCGTTTAGCATTGCTATTGGCTATTGATATTAGCAAACAAAAGAACTAGTAGTAGGCATTTAGCTTTAGATTATCAGCCCATATTGTACTTCACAACTCTATGACAACCCCAACTTTTCCTCTTTGATTTTAGCTATGTAGCTGGAGGAAATCCTGCAGCTTCATTAACACAAATTAACCTGTAATAGCTGTAAAAACAAAATTGATCTTCCACCTTTGGCACATTGAAAACATGAATAAAACACATCTCACTTGCACTTGTACACAAATCTTTGTGCTTGATTTTACAAGATTATTTGCCAAGTTATATAATATGTTTTTGCGTTTTAGACACTCAGTCAGCCTCAGAGAAGATTTTGCCTTCACAACAGCCAGACCAGCTTCCCAATGTGGAGGAGAGCGACACCCATGATGACTCCCAGCAGGTCAAACAGGAGCAGGTGGATCAGTGCATCAGTCAAGACATGGAGGCTGATACTTGCAACGATTCTGAAGTCATATATCCCATATCAGAATCAACCTCTAACTGTGAGCTGCTCCCATCTTCCACAGCTGTGACTGTGAGTGAAAATGAAAGCATAGATGACAAATGGAATGAAAGAGATGATTCGTGGTCGCCTTGTCAGAATCAGCAGGTGCATCATCACATCACCCCAGACTTGACGGATGAGTCCTCTGACAATGTAAAAGTCAGAATTACGAAATCAGAAACAGCTGCTCAGTCTGATTGCCACCCGATCCCACCTGTCAGCAGTATAACGGTGACATTTACTGATGATGAATGGAATGGAAGTGACGTTGCCTTAACGGAGCAGCAGCGGGAGCAGAAGACTTGTCGTTTCTGTGGCAAGTTTTTTAACAGGGACTCTGATCTGATCAGACACGTTGAAAAGACTCACATGAGTACGAGGGCCTTTCAGTGCTCTGAATGTGACAAAGAGTTTGCTTGTAGGAGCCATCTGGATGCGCATGTAAGAATTCACACAGGTGAAAAGCCACACAAGTGTTCTTTCTGTAGTAAATCTTTCACTCAAAGGTCAAATCTCAACGTCCACGTTCGGCTGCACACTGGTGAAAAGCCGTATTTTTGCAAAGCGTGCGGCAAAAAGGTTGCCTATAGCTCTCACCTCAAAACGTGCGGTATGAAGGAGCTCAGAGGGAAGGACTCATTTTGCTGTTTGGTTTGTGGTGAAGAGTTTCACACTGCTTCAAAACTGTGGGTCCACAAGAGGATCCATGAAGCCGGGAAACCCCACACTGTTTTCTCGCCTTTGGACTGATCACAGGACTGAATTGACATTTGTTTCCAGTATATCTGCAGAACCTTTAAAGGTCTCAACATTTCTTAAATTCAATTTTGTAAATACTCGGCCCTAAAAGTTATTAAATGATCTTAAATTTGAAATCCTGAGGTTTTTATTGCTACAAACATTTCATCTGATTTTATCCATCTTTATTTGTCAAAATAAAACATCTGGATCTGGGGAATTTGGAGGCCGGATTGATGTGTTGAGCTCTTTGTCACGTTCTTTGGAGCAGTTTTGGCAGTGTAGCATGGCGCGTTGTTCTGCTCGGGAGGCCATTGCCATCAAATGGTATCCACATGACTGCCAAGAACCAAAAGTTTCTCAGCAGAGCATTGCAATGTAACAAGATGATCAATGTTATTCACTTCACCTGCCAGTGGTTTTGGTTAAAAGTTTGCTTGAAAAAGGTCATTAAAGCAATATATTTAAGTGTCCGATACCTGAAGACACCCTGGTTTCACTTTATTCATTATTTCTTAATTTCTTAGTTAATATTTCTAAACAAGTTTTTAAAAAATTAAGGTGCCGAATCAGAGGTTTGGAGCAAAAAGACAAACAATTACAGCCATTTTAGTTGTCTCTGTTTAAGACCTCAGCCTTTTCAGTCCACTTTTGTTGAGATCTCTGAGCATTTCAAGTCTTACTTTTTTTAGTCCTGTTACTGCTCATGTTTATTTTGCACCTCTTTGTGAATGAAATAAACTATTTTTCCTATTTTGTAATGACAAAGACCCTTTTGTGATACTTGTAGACTAACCTAACGTGGTAGTAAACCTCTTACAATAAAAACCATGTATCCAGCACAAAGTCTGAAAATGTAACACCTTAATTTTGGATCCGTGTTCATCCTTGCTTATTTGCTTACTTATGACTGTCATTTATAACATTGCCAACTACTTCCTGCACCCCAAACAGGATACATATCAGACTGGGGAGGAGTCCGTGATATTCCACTACCACTGCAGACAACAGGCAGCCACATTGATCTCTTATCTACTCTATCTTACCCTAAAATTATCCATAGAGGTGTCACTTGAATTAATAGCAGCACAGAAACTGGAACACACTTAATGTCTGTGTTTCCAAATGTTACATTACATTTTAGTATTTGACTAAATGTAATGTAATACTCCCACTGTTATTAGTGCCTACAGCCATGAAAAATCACAGCTATAAAAGCAGTGGTGGAGGAAGTTCTCATATCTTTTACATAAAGGGAACTATGCCCATTTACTGAATTCAAACATGTTATTCCTATGGTTTCAGGCCAACCCAAAATATTAGTAAAATAAATAACCCTCTCTCAAATCCAAAAATTAGAATGCTAAAACTCAAACTTGTGAAAACAGAATACTCTGTTACAAGTAAAAGTTTAATCAAGATTTTACTTAAGTAAAAGTACAAAGGGGAGCAGCAAAATGTACTTTTAGGTATAAAAGTAAAGGTACCAATTGGGTTGGGTGGTCCCTTTCGTGTATAGTATATAACTGGAATATTACTGATGCTTAAACACATAAGCAGCATTATAAAGTCACAGCTGTATAGCACATTTTATACACCAGGGTAATTCAAAGTGATTTAAAGATCAATAAAATATATAAAACGTAATAAAGGATGCAGATTTGCAATAAGAGTAGAGACAAAAAAATATATATAAAAGGTCAAATTAATTACTAAATGGTTTACAATTTAAAAAAAAAACATTAAAAATAGCAAAAGTGCAGACAAGAGATGCAAAGATAAAAAGATAATTTAAAATTATTTAAGACTGAGTTTAAAAATGAGGTTGCAGTTGTTACAGGGTAGAGTAGGCAGTGTAAAAAAGTTTTGTAGAGTCGGGGCTGGGAGGTTAGTCCAGGTTTGTGCTGCATAACCAAACACTGCTTCATCATGTTTACATTGGTTTATATAATTTAATGAATGACTTTATTTCGGACCACAAAAAAAAGACATAATACAAAACAAACAAGACAAAGATAACATTGTCCGAAAAGGAGTAGGGAGAAGTCAAACTTAATTGTCCCTACCACTTTCTTACATTTCTTCTTTTAACTTGTGTTATTTCAACAAATTCTCAAATTTATTTACAACTAATATACAACTATCCCCAGTCTATTTACCACACAATTAATAAATAAGTAATAAACCCAGTTTATTTACAGTCCAGGGACCACCAGTGTTACAAAATAAATATGCACTTCCGCAACACAACCTTTCCTTATTTATACATCTGCCAGAAATATCTTAATTGATTTATATTTGTGGTTTGTTCCACCCCATACACTGAAATACACAGACTAGTTGTACAAACACATTGGGGTTTTTTAAATGAAATTCTCCTCTTGAATTATATCCCCCCTCCCTGTCACAAAATATTTTCTGAATGTTGCCTGGAAGTGAATTTTTTCTCACTTTAAACATGATTATTGCAGTTTTAAATTTGACCAGATCTAACAATTTCATTGTTTGTGTGTTCCCCGTGCCCTACATTGTGCACTGTCATGATTACTCTCCTTTGAAGGATGTGTAATGGTTATTGAATAGTCTAAAAAGTATTTTATTTTATGAATTGATCACATTTTGTTTGTATAATCTTCAACTCCAACTGTCCGATAAATGTAGTGATGTAAAAAAAATAGTTGAATATTTCCCTCTGAAGTGTTGTAGAGTAAAAGTATAAAGTAATATCAAATCAAAGTACTCATGTTAAAGTAAAAGTACCTCAAAATTGTAATTAAGTACAGTTCTGTAGTAAACGTATTTAGTTACTTTCCCCCACTGCATGTTAAGCAGTAAAGCAGATGGGTGTAGTATCAAGTCTCTCCAGTAGGTGGCGACATTGTGCTTGGACGTGAAGATCGTCTATTAGTTTGAGGAGTCACTTCCTGGTCATCAAAATGAACGCCATCTGCTCTTCGCGGCGACTAATTGCATCACCTGGAAACGAGACAAAGTGAGAGCTCTTTTAATTTTACCTATCTCAGTTAATACTTACGGAGAATGATGCCAGAGGATGGAGAGCCAAGCTGCGGCACAATAAATACACAAGAAGTGACGAGGAGGCGAAGTCAATAAGTGTTGGTAAATAAAAAAGCTGTCACTTTGTATCCTTAGCTAGCCGTTAGCCTCGTTTTATTAGCATGTCATCGTTTGCTTTGGACGGTTAGCGTCAGATACCGGGCTACACTAGCTAGCTGGTGGCAGTGGAAGCTAATCAGTTGCGAACAATATAACGGAATGCGGGCTGTGGTTTAGGTGTCGCACCTTGTTTTAAAAGTAATGTACCATTCATTAATTAACCATAAATAGCTAGCTTAGCTTTACATAATCCGTCGTCACATTAAGCTGTTCATGTTATGGCATGACACCTGTCCGTCCAGGAAGAAAGGACCGGAGAAAATGGCAGGACATCAGTGCGTCTGCTTCCGACTATTCACAAAGCCAGATAGTGGTGTGCACCTGTCGTGTAATAATAATCATTAGGGCTGTTTTCAGTCAATTTTTTTTCCACATAAGGGAGCAGCTCTGCCGTGTTTATGTAAATACAGGCACTAATCCATGACCCTGAAGTGGCTGCTGTGGGTTTGAACTATTCATCCAAGTAGCACAAAGCTGCGGGATAATGTTTCCTGTATCAGTTTACTGACTGCAGCCAGCTCTGGCCTCTTTTTCCACTCCAGGATCAGCAGCAGAAGGGGACACAGAGTGCTGGTAATACCTCAGAGAGATGTAAACATCTGACACGTTTTTAAGAGACGCAAAAAGAGGATGTGTGGACCTTTTAAGATTGTCCAAAATGTGTATTGGGTTCAGATTTTTTCCAGCTTCTACTTTGCGGAACAATCTGTGCAGGTTCCTCTATTTTTGACAGAGTCTGCTGAATGTCTGAACTGAACCAAAACAATAGTGCCACACCTTTAAATCAAGACATTGTGGCCAACTTATGTCGTCATGCTTGCTTTTTGGGGGAGCTTAGCCTTTGTCAGATATGAAACTGATACCTACATCTCCTAGTGTTGTCTCTGATACACAATATTTTGGATTATCATAATTTAGCTTGTATAGCAACCTTCAAAACCAGCATTAGAAAGTCTCACAAATAATGAATATAACTATTAAACCTGAATAGCATTACAACAAATCACAAAACCTAACATGCATAGTTTATGAAACAGAAAAGAGAAGCAGTTAAAGGAGCAGTGTGTAGGATTTAGTGGCATCTAGCGGTGAAGATTGCAGATTGCAACCAGTTAAAACTCCTTCTGTGTGGTTTTCTTTAGTGTTCTTTCTTCACAACGTTTTTACTGGGAGACAAATTATTTGCAGAGGTCTCCTCCTCCTCTCCAAAACAGGTCAACCTGGTCTCCCTCCAAAGTCGTCGAAATCTAGCGCTTGGGCAGCGACTTGCACCGTCAGACACTGACAAAAAAAGCTGTTCTTTAACATCCGCATGATATGCAGCTGGTTGCCGTTATAATTTAATGGTGCTCAGTTGCGTCGGGGTAAACGCGGTGGGCCAAGAATGAAAGTTAAGGCAGTGAAAGTGCAGGGGGCGGGCGGGAGAGCTGGTGGATGGGTCCAACAAACACTGACTTTCAGGGAGAGCCGTTTGCATCCTGTAAGATTATGAATCCAAATCCAGTTATTTTTTCCTAAACCTAACCACGTGTGTCAGTTATTGGAGGAAAAAAAATGTCGTTTTGCGGTGTTGTACCAACGTAGTGCATTTATTTTGAGAGAGGCTGTATATGAACAGTAAACTTCCTGTGAAACTGAAGTGTATCTTGAAAGAAGACAATGCATGTAACAGGCAGAACTTGACACGGTGTCCCAGAACATCAACAACCAACGCACTCAGGGTACCTTGCACATCGTATCTGGACGTGGAAAGTCCATGACCACATGTTAATATGTGACTAGAGTCAGAATGTGTTGGACAGGTGATTAAAACCGGTGAAAACAGTGAATAAAGCAGTTTTACATTACAAATCAGTGTTTCTCCTAAGCTGTTCTGCTCGTCGTAGATGTGCCACTAGCCCAGCACCTGCTACTGTGTGCTCACCCTTTTACTCTGATAACTTAAGATCCAGATATTCAGGAGGTTTTTACCTGGAGCTGAATTATCTACAAGGTTCCCCTACCCTCCACAACAAACAGACCCAGTGATTTAAAACGATAATAAAGCAGTTTCGCATTAAAAAACTGTGTGTTTCCGATGTTATTGTTGCAGAGGGCCTGATGGCCGACGCCCCATCCAGAGCCAGTGTTTGCTTTGATTCTGGGCTACTGTAGAAATATGGCGGTGAAACATGTCAGTCTCTGTGTACAAGGACCCGCTGCCTATGTAGATATAAGTGGTTCATTCTACGGTAATTATACACTAAATAAAACATACTTATTATTTTATATTCCATTTTGCCAACACATCCTCATAAATCCTGCACACTGGACCTTTAAACTAATAATAGTAATCTGGATCCTCAGGCAGGTCATTCCAGAGCCGAGGAGAACTGTGGGCTTTTTGTTCTTGCTGTTGTTTTCAGTGTAGAGCTCTCCAGTCTAAGCTATTTCTAAACTAGTTATTGGAACAGCCAGATGGTTCATGTCTGAGGACCTCAGGCTGCACACAATGTGTTAGGGGAGGGAAATCTGGACTCAGTACATTAATTGCCTGAAAAGCAATCAGAGAGATTTCAAAACCTAACTCAGAACAAATAGGCATGTAACATAAGGGTGCTAAAACTGTCAGTATGCAGTGTGATGTCAGCTGAGGCGGACTTGGGGGTCAGCTAGCACGGGATGTGGATGCATGTCAAAGGGATGCCAAATCATCATTGTGCAACTGTGCTTAAAGAAAGATGAAAACACAAGGTTGCACCATGGATAGCAACTCTTACCCTAACTTTCATAGTCGGCTCAATCCAGGCTAATTCTCTCAACAGTCTAGACAAAAACTACATTTACAATTTCATGTTGAGCAATTCCTGTTGTGAAAACACTGAAACATTTTCTGTGATTTTATGATTCTGTGATCATGCTCCTCTTCCTGTTGTTTTCATTTTCCTATCCCAGATGCATGAGGGCTTTAGGTCCTGCTAGGAGAACCCATGGAGCCAGACATCATGCCCTTGCACTCCTCCACCCCCCCTCCACTGGATGATGACGGCGACGGAGAGGCGGGATCAGAGGAGGACGAGTTTGGGGACTTTGGTGGATTCTCCGTCGGAGTGTCCCGCTTGTCTCCTGGCTTTACTGATTCACTATCCAGCCTCAGACAGCCTTTTCCCACCACAAAACCAGCCACTCATCAACCCAATTGTAGCTTTAATCACCCAGTTGAACAATCCCAACCCACACCCACTATGGACTCGGGGTCTGGCCTTGGCCAGATTTACGTGGAAGGGCAGGATTGTATCGCTGAATCAGGTGTGCACCTCACAAATGGGTACTCTGAAAGAGGCCACTACTCTGGGACCTACATAGCCTCTGCAGCGGGTGTATGCTCTCCCAGGGAAGAAACAGGGTTTGCTGATTTCACTGTGTTTACAGAGCAGGCAGCACATCCCTGGTGCTGTGGCTTCTCTCCCATGAGCAGCAAAGAGCTGTGGGATGGCAGAGGGGAAGAGACACACTCTGCCAGCAGCATGGGTGAACAAATCTGTGATCAAGGACAGGAGGTTGTTATGGACGCTGAGCCCAGATCTCAATGTGCATGTAAGGCAAAGGAAAATGTTTGCACTAAGGTCAAGCACTGTGAGGACAGAGATGCAGCACTCGTGCCACCATCTCAGGACCACCATCAGCCTCAGGAAGCTGCAGCTGCTTTGGGTTTTCCATCTGAAGAGCCTCCTACTGGGGAGGAGAAGACTAGTCAGAGCAAAAGGAGGCATAGTTGGAGGCAGGAGGATGGGGAGTCAGACGAAGACAGAGATGATCAAGACATTTCTACTGTCCCTCAAACTTTCAGTGTGTATGAGTCTGCATCAGAGGACCTGGCATCCTTCTGTGATTATCTGTCATTTGAGGGTTGCTCTGCGGATTTGGAACCAAATGTTTCATCTCTTGCTTCACATTGGGATCAGACTGACTGGGACCAGACTGATGATGATGAGGAGGAAGAGCTGGGAAATGACAGGCATTCTGACTGTTTTGTCAACAACAGCTTGGCAAACCTCAGACCATCTATAGCAGAGAAGGGTTTTCATTATTGCGACCAATCTGCGACTCAGGAAACTTCTGCTACCTCCAACCAGCCACAACCTGGAACACATTCACAAGACAATTTTGCAGACTTCACAGACTGCAGTTTCGAGCATCACAGGGACCAAGGACACGTCCAAAAAGCTGATGCAGTGGTGCAGAGTTTAGGAAACCTCCCACCAAGTGACAGCTTTGCTGATTTCTGCTCAGCGCCCACGCAGGAAGACGGAGAGGGGTCGTGGGCGGAGTTCAAGGACCCAAGGGTTCAGGAGGAGGGGAAAACTTGGACGCAGTTCAGAGAGCCAGTCAGCAGCCTGCAGACTGATGGGGACACTGAGGAGGAGCAGGACAGGGCAGGGCAATGTGGGGTTTCCAGGAGGAACAGCTGTCAGGTGGGAGACATTTCCCTAAACACTGGCTTTATTGTTGTTGCTCTTTATAACGATAATTAGAGGCCACAGAGAATACTTTAAGGGCTTGTCATGGATTATGTATTCCTTTTCCTGTCATTATTTAGTTTGCTTGTTTGTCACATGCCAGACAGACTTCCTGAGTGTTTCACAGGCAATGAAATGTGAACAACAAGAGCTTAAAATCAATCATTTGAACATTTGTTTTTTAAAAAGTGAGGCTTCTCCCTTTTTTCCTTCTAGCTGTCACTGTCCTGCCGTGTCCAGCAGCTTCTCCTGGCCAGTTTTCCAGAGGTAGAGATCCCAACTGTGGAATGTGAGGAGGACGTGCTCAGCCTCACTGCTCTGCTTCACACTCAACACCTCCCTGAGAGTGAGGAGGAGGAGACACCTGAACCCTGTTCCAGATCTCAGTGGTGAGGATGACTCCCTGATGGTGGATACGTAACAGTCTGTAACATTTTCAGGATGCAGGAGTTTATCTTGTCTCCTTTTTAAAAAAAATATTGTCTCTGAAATGTGCTGCTTTGTCATTTTCTTACCCTCTCTCAGGATTCGGCGGGGGGTGTGGTGGCCACACCGGGACATCCATGACGCAGTTGGTCTCCAGTTTCAGTGGGGAGGTTCCCACACTAACAGGACTCTGCTCGGGTGCCTTGGTGTGGAGACGAAGAATATTGTGAGTTCAGCAAATCATAAAAAATACATACAATACAAAATACAACATTAAATCTTGAAGGGCAATGTTCAGACAGATACAGTATACGTAGGCAAACTTAAAACAGCTATCTGATGCCAGTATCCTAGCATTTATAGAAGATGCTACAATAGTTTGCAACACCCGTCCCTGCAGTGAGTCCAGGGCCAGATCAATATACTTGCCTGCATTATACTCTGAATTAAAATAGGACAAAACAATCTATAGTGGCAGAATTACAAGCTGTGACACTCCTGTTGGCTGCTTTAGATAAATTCTGCCTTTTTGTGTCTTTACCTCTTGAAAGGTGTTCATTGGTACGAAGAAGCAGGCGGTGGCTGTGCCTGCTTTTGCATCCAGCCTGGTGAGTCATCTGTAGGAAATGTGAACTATATTAATTTTTCTTTACTGGGAGGAAGAAGCATTGTAATGGTGTAAGAAGAGCGGTTTCAGTGGTCCTTACCATTGTCAGTGCATGTTCTAATTTCCATCCTGTGTTCATGCGCTCATCAGGGAATGCTCGAGCCCACCAAAGACTCTGTGTCAGCTGTCTGTTCTCCAGGACACACAGTGGTCACCACACAAGCACCTCCAGGGCCCCGGGACACACCAGACCCCTCAGCAGATTCACTACAGGTTTATTTGATTTGATTTGATTTGACTTGTAACAGCTGTATTAGATTAAAGAACAAGAGACACATGACAGGATAACACACACACTCACAATGTGGGAAACAGCCACCACTAGATATTTCTAAAGCTGTGTTTTACTGCTCATGCCATTAAATTTGCTCTACTGTTGCTGTTTCCTTCTCTCTGTGTAGGAGGCGCTTCCTTCCAGCCAGCTGGACTGGAGCAGCCGTGGCCTTAGCAGCTCTCAGGACGGTACGTCCCCTCGCCGAGCCCCTCACTTCTGGGGCTGGAAGTAGACTACAGTATCAGCCATCCCCTGCGTGGCTTCTTCTGTTAAGCCTAAACGTTTGAGAGTTTTACTCTGGACTCCTCCTCACTTCCTCTAGGGCATGTTCTGCTTCTTTTAAGTTACAACGTGTTTCCCCTCTATTCACTCAGCTGTAGTGGGTAACCACAACATTTTGTGATTTATATTAATGTCCTCTCATGAATAACACAAATAGAGCTGGTGTTCAGAAATCATGTTTGTCATTATAATTTGTCCAAACAAGAAAACGTAGACATTTAACACCCAACAGACCCAAAAACTGGGAATAACCCATCAGTCACAAGTTTTCCAGAACAGTTGCAGGGGAAACACTGTACTGGCTTCCCTCTCCTCCTCCCTTAAGCTACTCTAGTGTCTCATCTTTATCTGCTGCCACCTTTTACAAAGAATTTATCTCAGTATTTGCCAGTGTCAGTTCTGGGCAAACTTTGTGGTGTCCATCTTGAAGTTGTAACACCAAAAATGGGTAAAGACTACTGAAAACTAGTATGACGTCTACTGAAAACAAGATGTGCATACTGTTATTGTGCTACTTGATGAATTTGAAGTAGTTTTTAAACTACAACATTAAAAAATCTGAGGGTAATGCTAAATTAATGTTACATTTGAAAAGCACTACAGACTGAATTTGTATACCCCACTAAATATCAGTCAACTCATGGAGTATGGTCATAATATACGCCATGTTGATTTTAACAGATGTGTTTATCTACAGGACCATTTTAATTTAGCTTATTGGTGGCCACTGTGTAAGTTGAACCAACACTTCCAGTGTTTATACTTGTCTACCTTTTGCCCTGTGCATGACTGTACACACTAAAATTTGACAGCGTCATCCAATTTTTGGTTTTATTTGACACTAAAGTGTCCTCAGTTTTTGATTATAAAAACAATTTATTAGTTCTTATAAGCTTGTAAAGGGTTTCATGGTCCCCTCAGTTATCTTAGACACCTTTTCAAAAGTAGAAACCAAAAAAAGACGTTTTAAAACGAGAGCAACAATGTCAGTCAGAGCCATTCTTTCCTCAGGAAATACTTGATTTCATAAGAATCAGATTTAGTACATAGTGCTTAGAACAGTATTTGCACAGAATTAATACTAAAAATTGAACTCCATAAATAATTATTACAATTATGAGTGAACTTAACTGTACATGGAGTGTTCTTCATGTATGGATTTGTCAAGGAGCTGGCCTAGATCTAATGAATGACTTATACACGAAACTACAGAAATACTAGAAAAAAGCATGAATTACAAATTCCACAGATTAGCTTTTATGTTGGTGTCCTTGTGAACTTTTATAGGAAGTGTTTAAAATTGGAAAACTAGTTTGTTATTAGCATGCTGCTCGTTTAAAACAAAGTTAAATCCAAGTATTAATTGGCCATGATATGATCTGACTTTGTTTTTCAGGACAGTTATAGACAACAAACTTTGCAGCATAACCCATTTTCTGCTGCATGCTTTTTAAATGGGTAACACAAAAGTATAAAGACAAGAAGTAAAAATAAAAGCTTTGTAGCATAACCAAGGTTTGGAAATGAACTGCAGCTGGTGGACTCCAAAATCTACCAGCCACTCAATAGATTACTGTTGTTTTAAGTCTAGCAGCCACTTGCAGACTTTACCAGCATCTGACTGGTGCTAATTTCCAACCCTGCATAACCATTGCTCATAAAGATAAGTGACAAAATTTAAAAGAAAAAAACAAGAAATGATAAAACTCTCTTTACAGTAGGCTAAGGGAAGTGTTTTCCTGAATGGCATATTCAATATGACACCGTTGAGTCGTCAGCATGCTGACATGTTTGCGTTTTAGCTCTGGTTTGTGGCATGCAGGCTGTCACAGCTGATCGACATGTTTCATTAACTGTACCAATAATTTTCTAGAAGACACCTAGATGAGTACACAGGTATAGACAACATTAACATTTAGATTTAACAGCTGTAGCCACTGAACAGTGTTGTAATAGTAAAGTATGCACAACAGAGGGCAGTGTGATTTCTGTAGGATGTGCTGAGTGCAGCAAAAAGGTCAAAATAAATTTATTGTATTCACTGTAGGAATACATTTAAAGAATTTAAGTGATTTAAAGTCAAACAATCAGCCACTACTTCAAACTGATATGCACTTCATATATTTAAAACTGTTTTTTGTTTGTAGTCTTATATTTAATTCTTTATTTCATTATTTTTTCACATGTTTGGTCATATGAAATCTTTCTTTGGGGTTTTGTTTTATTCTGAGATTTAGTTAAAATGTGTGGGAGATAACTGCTAACACTTTATGCTGCTTTTAGTGTTTTTCCTTTTATTATTTTGCTCCCTGTGCATTGACACATTTACTGTATGAGCATGCTGAATAGGATAAAGGAGAGTTCAAAAATCTCACCATAAATCCACTTGTCAGTAGTTCATTACCAATCAAAAGTGTTTCTGCAACATCTCTGTAACTGCAGTTACAGTATTTCATATGAGTTGTGCCTTTATGCCAGCAATTGTTTTCTAAAAAAAAAAAAAAAAAAAAGCACTTGGACTTTGGACCTATAGTTTGTTGACGGAAATCTTTTTCTTTTGTTTTTTATTTCTTCAGATTTACTGCTCAAATCCAGATTTAATGCACTGCAATAAGGACTTGTAGGAAATCCTTGTAAATACTGAAATAAATCAGTCAATCCTTTTTGCTTGGTTTCGCCTCTCTTCCCTCGGCTTTCCTCTCTCGTTGGAAGCTGTGTCACTTTTTCTCTGGTTGAATGCAGAGTTGGAGTATTTAAACAGCTACGCACATTGCAGGGATTTGGTGTCAGTTTGTAAGACAAACTGTTTAGAGGGCCACTCTTTTAAAGATGGTGTAATTTTTAAGAGTCTAGCTGGACAGCAAACATTTGTTACGGCAGCTAACTACTTGATAGTTCAAAGTATTATGCAGTCAATATAAATATTCTAGCGTCTCAATGATTAAAATGTTTCTCAGGTAGCTGCAACCCTTGTGTTATGATCGGAGGTGTTCTTATTAGACTTAAACAACAAAATCAAACTCAAGTGTTTGGACCCCTGGTCACCTGAGTCATGTTATATCCATGTGAAGATCAGTGACCTCGTTCTAGGAGGTGGCTTGGATCTGAATCTGACTATAAAAAGCAATTGGATAACGGCTTTGCATTGCTTTGTTAAGCTTTGTTTGCAGTGTCTATCACTCTCAGTCTTCCCCCCTTTCTCAGTAAAAGGAGAAAACATCAGTCAGAAGCAGATGCTCATTCTCCTTTTATGAAAATCAAATCAAGCTCCCCCCCGTTCCTCTTCACCCTGCAGCAATCCTCACCCACTGTCCTCCCTTGTTAGCACAGGCTGCTCTGCTCTCAACCTGGATTATTTTGGTCCTGAGGAGGAGAGCAGATCCTACAGCAGCAGCGGCAGCAGCCGTAGCAACAGCCCTCCTCCAGGTCAGCATGTGAAACTGCAGAGATGTAGATTTTATTGTCATTCATGAGGTTTTTGTAGCCACAAAGCAGTCACCAGAAATATCAAGCAATCCAGTATCTGTTGCTAAATTTAACTGGTGTTGTGGGTGTGTAAATCCTCTTGACGCTCATTGAGTTTAATGTGTGTTTGTTACACACACTCGCATGTAAAGGAGTTGACCGTGACCTGTATGAGTTGACCATCAGCAAACTGGAAACCAGCGCTAACAGTAGCCACATGGAGGACGTTTTGAATCGCCTGATGTCCACAGCAGAGAAAACCAGCACTTCAGTCAGGTCAGCCCAGTTTTTACATCAACGTACTTTGCATATTTTTTAATGTAGCATCTCCTTGTCCTCTGTGTGCGTATTTAAATAGTGTTTGTGTGTGTTCTTCACCAGAAAACCTCAGCAGGACGAGGAGCTGAGTGCAGAGGCTGACAGGGTGATCTCTGCACTCCCTAACCTGTCTTTCATGCAGGCCAAGGTCCTCATGTTCCCGAGCATCCTCCTACCCAAACAATGCTGTTCCCCAGAATTACGGTGATGCTGTATCTCCACACACATTTATACTGAATGCTCAACCTACAACCTATTGCAGTTACCACAAGATTCAAATATTCCTTGGATATACAAAGTGCTACAAGGAAACAAGAGGTACTGTGGACTCTAGTTGATCCACCTGCTTTGGTCAAAATACTCCACCTGCTGGCTATCCTCAGTCTTTGTCTTAAAAACTAAGGCTCTTTGAAAGTAGAGAGGCAGAATACCTGCACATGTATCAGCTGATGTAGAAATTTCAATGTGCAGTAATCTGCAAACCAAGTATCATTCCGCTTAAAGTCAGTGTTGTGGTGTATTTTGGTTTAGACTCACCCACACACACATTTATTCACTTCAGAAAGTGTTACAGCATACTAACCATTAAAGTTATGTTTGATTGTGTATTTATTGTTATTGTAAAATATGTCAATTTTGTTTTGATGTAAATTATTATAGACAAATGTGTAATATACTTAAGAGATATGGGAGACAGAAGATGCGTGGACTATGAGAGAATATTTTCTTTCAGTGGAAAGTTTAAATTTCTTATCTTACTGTCTCATGGTTTGTAGATTGTCACCCAGTAAAGCTGGTTATTTGGCTTTTGACTCCAGTTTCAACCTGCTATTTATAATCAATTTACAACAATCAATAATATGAGAGTAGTTTCAGTGGGGCTGATTTGAAGATCAGCAAAAAATGGTGGGAAATAAAACAAATGAAATTGCCTCAGGATGTACCACCTTCATACTTTTATTCATTTGGGGTTACTAATCAATGTCTATACCCTTATCTTATCATGGGGGTTTCACATTTATATCATTAACCACCTACAAAAATCAATTTTAACCTGTATGTTCAGTTTAAAATCTGATTTCAGAGGAATAACTGATTAATTTTGGTTTACCTGTTGCCTCTAGTAACAGTTTTCTCATGTGGCCTATTTTAATATTACAAATCTTTCTCATCATGCATAGACTGACCTGTCTCTTCATTTAGATTGACATATAAATGCTTTGTATGCTGATCTCTCATTGTTTTCACCTTCCTACTGACAGCCATATTAGACTTTATTAGGTTATTTGCCAGTTATCTGCCATGGTGCTTTGGTACATGACAATAAACATAGTAAGAGAACATTTCAAAAAAAGAAACGAGTGACTAAGTCTAGAAACATAAATATAGAATATAAAAATGTACAGTATAAACAGCTATGAGTATAAATACTCTGGGGTGAATTAAGGATGATTGGTATAGTTTTTTTTTTTCCTCCTTCTGTAAGATTTCTTGCCATCAATTAAAACAAATTATACATTTCTGTAATACTGAAGATGTTACCTATCCATTTAAGGAGGAAGAAAGTTGTATCATATTCCAATTAGGCATGAAAAACCCTTTTAACTAAACTAACCCCAAACCCCTTTTTTGTATCATGTTTTTTGTATCTGTTCATCATTATGAATTAAGACTCCATGTACATTTCTGTTAAAAATGTATTGCTGAAGTCCGTCCACATCTCATGCAATAGAAAGCTGTATTTCCTCACTCTCACAACAGCCCCCTCCCTCCCACATCCTCCCTTAATTCTCTCCCACCAAATTTCATTGAACACATTTAATTGATTTTTAAAATTTATTAGCACCGTCCCATTCACCCAAAGCATATCTGTGTAAATGGGACAAAATAAAAACAGCTTAATTCCTAAAACAGACACAAGATATAGAAACATTTTTACTGATTTATAATCAGTAGGTTTGTGCAGTATAGGAGCTATGACAATTTTATGACCTTATGATTAAAACTGGCTAAAGCTCGTGTCACTTTACTCGCCTCGTGCACTGCAGGGTCAACTTCCTGTTTGAATCTTGCCCCATCCACCTACATGATGTCACACTTATGATGAGGCATGCAGTTTTGATTGTGTGGTTTCACAGCTAAGACGTTTTTTTTCTACTTATCAGTTGAGAAAATAAACCCTGTATAGTTTTACTATCCCAATTGACCTTATGTCCCAATAACCCTGAATTCACCCTATAATATTTGCTTTAACATTAAAGAGCTGCACAATTTTGGGCAGGAATGTGCAAAATTATCTATTGATGTGTCCATGATGCTTGATCGGAAGATCTAGACAGTTTTAGGGAATAAAAATGAACCTTTATAACCAGATGAAAGGCTTCACACTTGCCTCTACCTAAGACATAACACTTGTATTTACATGCTGCATTTGGAAACTGAATGAGGCTGCATTGAATATACGGATCCAGGATTTTGAAGGTTTTTTTGTTTCTAGCGATGCAATCAGTCAATGCATTTGTTGTGATGGTAAAATTAAGGAGATTTAAGCTTTGCATTGATCTTGGAGGGAGTGACTGACATTTGAACGTCTCTGTCACACACCGGATGAGCACCCTTCCCTTCCTCCTCTCGGCCGGGTTGGTGTGTCTTCCTTCCGGCTTGCCGAAGAAAGTTGAGGGAGGTTCAGCGGCAACTGGGCTTTTACATAATGGACAGCCAGGGAAGGAAAGTGGTGGTCTGTGATAATGGGACCGGGGTAAGTTTGCTGCTTTGGCCCGACACGCTCTCAAACCGTGGCTCGCTTTGAACGGAGCCGTTATGTCGAGCGATTTGCTGAAACAGGAAGTGGGGCTGTCAGCGTCCAAGCTAGCTAGCGTTAACTGGGTGGGTAGCTAGCTAGCTTGTTAGCCTGCTAATTTTCATTCATCCGGACCCGACACGGAAACGGCACGTAGGGTGGGTGTAAATGTCGGGGTAAAAGCTGAATACACAGCTCTGGCTAAACCTCCCACAGTAGTACAACCCCCCCCCAAAATTAAGGCAGACGAGTAACTACCAATTTGCTACCACTGGTTACTAAGCTAAAGCAGCTAGCTAGCCTGCTAATTTGCTGTTAGCATCCAACAGCTGGCTGTCTGGTTTATACTGTCTGGCAGCTGCGTCGGTCATGTCTGTGATTTGTCTTGCAAACAATGCAGTGTCTGCAGATTCAGTATTTGTCTTGCACATTTGATTTAACTATCAAGGCTAACGTTAGTTTTTTTGTCAGCTAGGTGTAACGGTAGTTAGGCCGTGTCAGGTTAATGAACCACCTTTATGTTTTCCTGTTCAGCAGCAACTTCCCGGATAGAAATGTCACCTAAGTTGGAGTTAGTCAGGTCTTTGTGTCGTGGAAAGACTACACCGCATACTTTATTTCTCTCATGCACCCGTCCTCAATCAGCTTTGTTTTAACATGTCCTTACTGGATAGACGAGGGCTTTTGACGGTTTGACAGATACTCGAGGAAATTCTAGGTGTGTCATGAGAAACATTACGAAACAGGCTTCAGTACTGGCAAATAACAACCGACCACCAGCCCAATGTAGGTCACATCTGCACCACATGTTTTTGTGTGGTACTTTTGTCACAACCTAGCTGGTTGGTTAAATAGTCCATTGGGGGGGGGGGGGGGGTGTTAAGGTGCTGCAACAGCACAAGGACAGGAACAGGTGCAGATGAAAAGAGAGGTGAAAAATAAAAGAGGTATGTATGACTAATGTAAGAGTAGAAGTAAAAATAAGGCCATTACAAAAGTGACACAGAGGTGTCAATATTGGCAAGGAGTCTAGTGTTATTTAAACAGCCTACACCAGATTAATATGTAATGGGGCTGCATTAAACAATTGTTTTCATTGTCGATTAATCTGTCAATTATTTTCTCGATTATTCGATTAGTTGTTTGGTCTAAAATGTCCTTCAGTGTTTCCCAGTGCCCAAGATGACTTTCCCTAAATGTTTTGTTTTGTCCACAACCCAGGCATATTCAGTTTACTGTCACAGTGGAGGAATGAAGCCAGAAAATATTCACATTTAAGAAGCTGGTATAAAGAGTAGAGGTAAAAATATGAACTATACCAGACCAATAAGACAAAGACACAAAAGTGACATCATGGTATGAGTAATAGCAACAAGTCTAGTGCTATGTAAGCAGTCTGCACTAAAATAATATGTAATGGGGTTGCAACTAACAGTTATTTTTAGTGGTGATTAATCTGTCGATTAGTTGTTTAGTCTATAAAATGTTGGAAAATGATGACAAATGTCCTTCAGTGATTCCCAAAGCCCAACATGACTTTCCCTAAATGTTTTGTTTTGTCTACACCCCAAATATATTCAGTTTACTCTCATAAAGGAGGAAAGATACCAGGAAATAATCACATTTACAAACCAATAAATACTCAAAAAATACTCAAATTGTCAATTTAGTTGGTGAATAATTGACAGCTAATCAATTAATTGTTGCAGTTTTAATGTACTGTGATTAAGTTGAGATTCCTTTGTTGTCTGTATTAATATAGAAAAATAGAAATATATCCTGTGTAAATGGTCATTGTAGTGTTTTTCTAGTCTTAGTGAACACTCAGAGCCTTACATCACAAGCCATAATTCACCCATTGAAACACACATTAATATACTGGTGGCAGAGGTCACCATGCAAGACGCCACCTGCTCATCATGACCATAACTAGCGCTAATTATTCACACACACAATTACACACCAATGGCACATCACAAGTGCCCAAGGCCCCAGTATAACATATTAACACCATAGTATAGTAAGATGTAGGACAGTGTAGTATGAGGTATAGTGTTATTGTTATAATGATATTAGGCTGGTGTATTTAGGGGATTTTCAATCTGCTGTGGTTTGTTGACGGAATGAGCAGTTTCTACCTCATCCAGCTTACAACATAAACTTTGCTGATCTGTTCTTTTGTTAAGGAGTTACTCATTGCACACAGGTTTCTTTTAGTTTGCCATGACTTCCTCTCTAAACCTTGTCAGCAGTCAAAGAGGATGTCGGCTCAGCATGCTACTGACTAATAAGGCTTTTTTGAGATACGACTTTTTCAAGAGCTGCATGCAGAGCTAGAAAAGAAATTGCCCTGTGTCAGGGTTGAATTGAGAAGTCAGGAGGAAGTGAGAGGAGTCTGAACCACAGCCACATGTCACCAGCACATTTTTAGAGCTCTGATGCATGCTGTTTCACATCATAGTCCACTGTAAAATCTGACAGTTGAACTTTTCTTCACGCTCCTACCAAGCACATGCAGCTGCAAAACAAGGAGACAGACAACTCTGAATTGTTTGTTTTACTCGTAAATTTCACAGTCTTCCCCTAAAACTCACCATGGGAGTTGAACTGGTTCTGTGAGATGGTTATTCAAACAGCAGCTGATTCCAATTACATTGCAGACAGAATCGGGTCACCTCACCAGTTGTTTTTCGTGAAATTTATTTAACCAAATTCCTTTGTTGGGGAATTACAGAAATGATTTGTGTGGACTTGATTCTCAAATTTTACTTTAATCAATAAAACCCCGCCTGGCAGATCATCCTTGAATCTACCCATTGACCCTAGCAGTTTGGAAAAAAGTCTTAGGTCAGATTCTTTAATGTAAAAAATCTCTTAGTATTGGTTTAGATTATCATAGTCCTTAATTCTTTAAAAAACATTTTGATGAATGACTTGTGTCAGTATCTGTCATCCCCATCATACTAACATTCAAGATCTGAGGTATACATTTCTATCACTGTGATGGAGGCTAAAGCAGGCACTAGCTGCAGATGTTCACACACATACACAGAGGTTCTGGCGTGGTGACGTCGGTGGTTACATTTTTATCTCCGTCTAAATGCTAATTAAGCCCACTGTTATCAGCAGGATGACTGGGACATTGTCTGGCTGTATTGCACAGTTTATCTCATCAGTTCTCAAATGTATTTCCTCACATCACTTCCTCTGTGCTCTGCTTTTCTTGTCTCTCTCCTCTAGTTTGTCAAGTGCGGCTATGCAGGCTCCAATTTCCCAGAGCACATCTTCCCTGCGCTTGTTGGGAGGCCCATCATTCGCTCGACAGCCAAAGTCGGAAACATTGTGATCAAGGTAGGAAATGGTCCACGTGATGTTGCTGTTGAGTCATTTGACCAGAAAGTCTTGATTTCAAGGGCAAGACCTGGTCAGGAAACCGCAGATGAGACAAAAATATTATCTGCAAACGAGTAAAAAAGCAAGATATGAAATCACACACAATGGAGCAAATCAGTTTCTGATATAAGCACAAAATCAAAGCCATAGACTGTCTAATTCCCTTCTAAAAATCTGTTATAGACTCATGGTGAGCTCCAGTAAGATTGTCATTCAGTTCTCAAATCTGTTAGATAACAGAATCAATCCTCCAACTATAGCTCTACCAGCTTGTTTTAGACATCCTCCCAATATAAACAAGAGTATCTCTAGTGTATTCCTGCAAATATGAAGTCTTTGAATACTGTGATTTTGGTAATGATCAGCTGTTTTGGCAGCAGAGGTCTAAATGTCAGATGGTTTCCCATTATTTTAGCATGAAACCTATCTTTATCTTTCTCCTGTTCTTCCCAATTTTTGGTTTATTCATCTTTTTTACTTTATATCTACCTTCCTCTTCCTCCATGTTTTGTCCCCCCTGATGAAGTAGAATGCCCAGAAGATGGTAAGTTCAGGTTGGTGTGTGCCTCCTGTTCTTGCCTGCGCCAGAGAGTTGTGCCATGTTTTGATCTCAACCAAATTAAACTCTTTTTTTGTTTTGTCTTAGATGTTTGGGTTTTTTTTGTCCAGTGTCTTTTCTTCATTTGTTTTCTTTTATGCTTTTTTTACTCACACAATGATCCCATTTTTCTGCATCCCGATGAGTTGTTGTTGAGTTTGAGTGTTGGCCAAATGAGTGGCAGCAAGTCTGATAGATATACAGCCCTTACGTTAATGCACTTCTCTCTCCAGGCTCAAAAGTGTTGTAGAAATGGCTGTGATGAATCAGAGGCCAGCTGTTATCGATGGAGTGCTAAAAGAGATTTTGGACCGATTCCATTTTTCAGAGTCTGTGATCTGCTGGCGCATCCTGACAGCTACCCAAACCCCCCCTCCTCCTCCCCCCCCCCAATCCTGCTGCTATTTAAGGACTCAAATAATCACAACAGTTTTCAGCAAAAAAAGAACTTAAAATGTCAGCTGCAGCTACAATAAGTGGTGTTAAATGCTAAATGTTGTGTACGTATGTGCATCACAGATCTAGTTGCCTCACTGTGATGATGCCACAAACATACCTAATTTAAGTTCAGAGTATTTGCTTTAGCATCTGCGGGTGTTTCACCTTTACAAGTGCAGAGGAAGTGTCCACACTTGAGGGTGCATAGCAGACAGCTGAAAGTCGAAGACGGAAGCACATCTGTTTTTCTGTTTTTCTTTTTTCCTTTTTTTTTTTTATTGAGACCACATGGAGGCAATGCCTGTGACTGGTACTTTGTTAATGCCAAAGCACACAGGATGAACCCATAAAATGGCTGCCTTCAGTAGGCTTTTGATGTCTCCAAGTGGAACGTGAGATGCTTGACTGTGTGGCTAACACTAAGCTCTAACCCAGCGGTTGTTTACATTGCCAGGCTGCCTTGCATGCAGCTAGTTGAATGGTGCTAAAACAAGTGGTTTACTGTAGCTAGAGGGAAACGCAAGTGTTTCCAGGTGTAGATGCATGGAAAAAGATGGCTTGTGCATGTTGGGTAACTGAGTTTTAAAGCAAAAAGCTACTTTGGGCGAGGACATTACTGCAGCTGTCGTCATCTAACAGATGACTCGGCTCGATGATCCAGTTTCTCTGAAATTATGAGACCAGCAGGCCAAGCGGGCAAATTAAAATGACTTACTTCATTACCACAAACCAATACTCAGTGCTCATCTCTACTCCCAGTGACTCTGAATGATGCAAACTGGCTTTCAGAAGTGGAGTGCAACACTGCAGAGCTTCTAAATATTTATGTCTGCTGATCTTTGACCTCTCTCGCCAGGACCTGATGGTGGGGGACGAGGCCAGCGAGCTGCGCTCCATGCTGGAAGTCAACTACCCCATGGAGAACGGCATCGTCAGGAACTGGGATGACATGAAGCACCTGTGGGACTACACCTTCGGCCCAGAGAAGCTCAACATCGACTCTCGCAACTGCAAGATCTTGCTGACCGAGCCGCCCATGAACCCCACCAAGAACCGCGAAAAAATCATTGAGGTATGTTGATGATTATTTCTGTATGTGTGCAGCTTGGAGGTAGTTTTGTAGTCTCATGTAGGGAAGGTAAAAACAACTGTTCTAACTATCTGATGTTTTCTGGCTTCTCCTGCAGGTGATGTTTGAGACCTACCAGTTTACAGGAGTCTACATTGCTATTCAAGCCGTGCTGACACTGTATGCCCAAGGTAGGGAGACAGACGTGCATGCTTTGCTCTGCAAGTTTAATCAGTTTCCTTATCACAGAGATTTTGCAGGTGTTCTATTCCAGCAAACCTGTCACCCATAAATTAGATTTCCCCTGACACCAGAATTATGTCTGTGTTATAACTGGCAAATTAATAGTAGTTGAGGAGCTCAGAGGCAGACGGCTTTTCATTTTAATAGTAGAAATATTCTTATGTGGCTGTATTTAACGACCACACCTTTGTCAAATAGTTTGTGCAAAGATTTGTTTTATGAGACGACTTGGATACCAGATATGTTTCTCTTTGTGTCAGAAAGTCACATGATTATCATTTCATAATGCTCCAGTGACAGACATGATATCCTGACATTATCCAAAGTGTTAACATGGGTTAAACCAACCTTTGTGGTGCTTCAGGCAGGATCAGATGAATTCTGAAATCATCTGAACCCACAGTGAGCCTCAGTCTGTCTCTTACACACACACACAGAGCTCTACATTATGTCTGTGTGCTGCTTTACTGTTTTGTCTCTGAGGTTATTACTAACAAGTGAGCCATTATTAGCAGTTGATTCTTAAGTTAGATGTGTTATCTTTCCAGGTTTGTATGTTTACCCAGCCAACATGGCTAACAATCAGTAGCCCAAAGCACACACTGGTTAAAACTCAGAAACAAACACACCTAGTTTGGTAGGATTGTAGATGATTAACTGTAGTGTGTGGGGTTTTTTTTTTCTTTTTCTTTTTCAGGCCTTTTGACTGGTGTGGTGGTGGACTCGGGAGATGGTGTGACACACATCTGTCCAGTGTATGAGGGCTTCAGCCTGCCGCATCTGACAAGACGTCTGGACATCGCAGGCAGGGACATCACCCGCTACCTCATCAAGGTATCAGCCATGACAGACTCTCAAATCAGATTAACAAAACACACAGTCAGTCGAGTATATACTGTATGAATGTGTCAATTTGATTGATTTAAAAATCATGTGGGTTGATCTTCCCATGGTAGATTTTAGATAATAAGACTTCACAGTGCTGCACCATTATAACATACTGTAGACCATCATTCTACTTCTAAAATACGCCTTTTAATTCATATTTTTAGGCATTTTAGTGTAGCAAATATGTTCCAGTCTAGTCTTAAAAAATGGGTTATCATCAAAATCTGGAATTTGACAGTCGTGATGCTCTTTAGAAAGGGGAAACCAGCATCACATTCTTTGTAAATTAAGTAACAGGGTCTTAATTATGAGAAGACCTGTCACTACCACTAATTCTTATTTAAATAAATATAAATATATTAATATTCTTTCTGACCTTTCTCACCTTCTTTTTGCTTTTTCTCTCCCATCATCATTTGCCCTCACATGGTGCAGTTGTTGTTGTTGAGGGGTTATGCCTTCAACCACTCTGCAGACTTTGAGACGGTGCGCATGATGAAGGAGAAGCTGTGCTACGTGGGCTACAACATCGAGCAGGAGCAGAAGCTGGCGCTGGAGACCACCGTGCTGGTGGAGTCATACACGGTATATACTTGAATTTTTTTAATTTTCAACAAAATAAAACGGGTAAATCTCACCTTAGATTTGAATTTAGCATAAAATGATTTGAATAAAAACTACCATAAGTGCACAGGTTGTTGGTACAGTCACTGGTAGTGCCTACAGATGAAGTTTAGGATGTGGCTTTTTGTACAGTTTCTAACAGCTGCGGAGCTGGTGTTTGTGGTTGTCATTTCATTAGGTGTGCCGACACAGTAACCAGTGTGAGGCCAGACTTAAAAACGAGTTGCCACCCTCATATAGATATTCTGTGCATTATTCACTCAGCTGGCATCACATAAGGGAAAAGGGAACTGGATAAACATCAGAAACATAACAACAGTGCAAACAGTTGACTTAAGACCCAAAAGAGAAGTTCTAATAGATCGCTGATGCAGTTTTTATGAACGCCAACATGTCTCCCCTTGTGTGCTTGTGGTAGCATGCCATGTCGTCCCACTTGCTGTACCTGTTTCCTGCCGTCATCTCTCTAATTAATGTGCCATAAAACAACCAAGAAAAAAAAAAGAACACCTGCGATTAAAGGACTGCAGTATATGAGCTAAATCAGAGATATGGGCACCAGAAAATCAGCCAGGACGATGATACCCTTTTGTTCTTGATCCAGTTTCACTCAGGATTCTTGAAATATTGGTGCTATCTAGCAAACCAGCCCGCTTTTTCACCAGTTTTAAGCCTAACCATTGTGAACAAGGATGCGTCAGCAAGATGGTGGATCACATTGATTATTATTATTACTTACAGATACTGTTTTTTATCCAATAAACAAGAATGGACCAACCATTAATGATAAGAGGGCAATTAGGTGCAAGATTACTTTGTCTTTCCAACTTGTAGAACGTGACGGGCACATTGATGTCGCCACAGTTTGCACTTCAGGTTGGGGAGAACCATCTGTTGTTTGGTTCCAGCTGGGAACCAACATTTTGCTTTTGAAACGTTTTTTGATGTTGTTCGAAATGCTCTGAGTGGTTTAAAATTAAGTGCGCACACGGGAGTGAAACCTGTTCCATGTTGGTGGAAAAAGGAGTATCTGAGACTGAATATGAAGATGAAGAAGGCAGAGGATGTTTTCATATTTGGGATACAAGTGTGCATTAACTGCTTTTTTTTTAGGTTGGTCATTTCTATGTACAAATGCAATATATTTTTAGCCCTCTGGGATTAGGATGAGTTTCATATTTCAGCTCAGAATAGCATTGTAGAAAAAATCACTCCCAAAGGATTTGTTACTCAGAAGTGGTAGTATTTTGAAGTAATCAAAACTTAATGGGGTAACCAAATCTGTTTCTGCGCGGAGCTAAGTAGACTACCACATGCCCCTTGTTGGATCTGTTGGCTGCCTCAGGACTGGGCAGTGCTGCTGACTAACTGTTTTCTCTGGGACTCAAACATATGGGGGTGCAGTGCTCCTCCACCAGGCTTGCTTTTCTTTCCAAGGCCCTTTTCCCTGCAGAGGGAACCACAGAATCTAAACGCAGGTCCTGAAGTCTGTGTTACTGCACGCCTTACCGAGCACATGTTGTGTCTCAGAGCTCACTGACCGTGTGTGTTTGGGTTAGTGTAGGCGACTGTGTGTGTGTAGGTGTGTGAACATGTATGTGTAAGTATCGTTTTGTGTGCCGAAACAAGGAGGGCAATGTAACTGTGGCCGAAGGGCCCTGAACTGTGCGTTACATCATTTCCTGTGCAGCCACTTTGCGGCGGTGGCTGGGCTCCACTTCCTCCCACTGCCCTCGGCTGAATGAAGCCTTTTTATAGTCACACACACATTCACTCTGCTCAGTTTGGAGTCTACACTCACTGCGCTTTAACTCGCTGAACAACATTATGCAGCAGACACACACACATTTTTCTTTTAAAAGGCTTATTGAGAAGTTATGACTTCCTTTCATACATCCCAAACAACCACTGAACAGTATCGTTCTAATTCTTAGATTCAAGATTTATGACTCTCTGTTGAGTCATACATTAAATCCTACCTCTTCAGTGGTGTCATATTTTCTTTTTTTCCATGTCTTTTCATCTCAACCCTCCCACACATCTCCAGCTGCCAGATGGTCGTGTGATCAAGGTGGGAGGAGAGCGGTTTGAGGCCCCTGAGGCTCTGTTCCAGCCCCACCTCATCAATGTGGAGGGTGTCGGAGTGGCTGAGCTCCTCTTCAACACCATCCAGGCAGCCGATATAGACACCAGGTGAGACCAGTGGAAGAGTATGGACACATTTCAGTGCCAATAAAGATACATTAGTAGACACTGTACTGAAAGTGACTGTTTCCACTCTTAAGCACATTAATACACAACATTTATAAGCCACAGATGTGCAAAATGGTGGTGTTGGCCCAGCAGAGCTCCCACTGAAGCAAAAGAGGGTTTTAGATATCAAACTAAATATTTCTTGCACACCAGAGTTCTGTATGGAAAGTATGAAAATTGATCTTTGGGTATGTAAAAGAGTGGAAATAACCAAGCAAATGTAGGTATGGAAACACAATACGTCATTATTTAATCCTGCTGTGTGAGCTGATGGGTCTGTTTTGTATAATTTATCTTTATTCACTGAGGGATGTAAATCTGCCATGTCTTGAAAGTACATTTTCAACATTTGTGGACTTTTCTCTCCTTGTGTGCTCTGCTCTCACCCTCTCTCTGTCTCCCCATCATCAGGCCTGAGTTCTACAAACACATCGTGCTATCAGGAGGATCCACCATGTACCCGGGCCTGCCGTCCCGGCTGGAGAGGGAACTCAAGCAGCTATACCTGGAGCGTGTGCTCAAGGGAGATGTGGCCAAGCTTTCGGTGAGATATCAACCCTTAATTTATGATTACACTGTTGAGTGTGTAAAGAGCATCGCAGAAGGCCTCTGAGCTAAAACTGCTCAGATGTGGTTTTCAGTATGACTTTGAAAACAGGTCATACAACATTAATTTTTAGCTCAAATTAGAACTTGATTAGTGTCAGTGGCACTGCGACCAATTCATTGTACACTCAGATGAGCTGAAGTCTGGCTTTACTGCACAAGGCCTCCCAGTTGGTGTGAATTCGTATTTCCAGCTGATTCTCTGGGTTTGTTTAAGTTGGCCTGGGCGGGGTTTCCCATTTGTGGGAGAGCAGTAAAGTGCCAGAGAGCTACAACTACTTTGGGGAGCATATTTGAGTCAGTTTAGTGTGTAAACAGTGACTGACACCTGACAGTATCTCCTTTGTCACGATGAGGTTAACTCCCTAACACTGAGAGTTCACAATAGAATAAATTAAACGCCTTGAATTATGGGCAGTTACTGCTTGAACCGTATCCATCTCAAACACATCTCTGAGGTTTAAGAGCAAAGTTTACTATCATGTTTTGTCTCAGAGTGGTGCAGTGTGCCTAGACCACCACCAGGTGGTGCTGGAGGTCAACAGACATTCATTTAACTTAAACAGAGCACTTTTAATAACAACATATGTGAGGTTCACTTCCCAATGATAAATATTTGTTTTGGAAAAATATCCCCACATCGCATTTCCACTTCAGTGTCCCAAAGACACTGATGATTTTACTCCGAACTATTTTGTAAACAAAGGTCTACAGATGACTCATGAGTTTAAAAGCAAGTCATTATGTGCTTTACTTTTCTGCCCACAACTGCAGCCGGCTTCGGTTTCTGCGACTGTTTATCTCATTTTCGAATTCAAGTCTTTATATGTAGTGATAGTGTTTTTCATATGTCCGTCATGAAAAGCAAAATGTGTGATCCCTAAATATTTTTATGCCGAATACTTCCAAGATGGCTGTTAAAAAGTTTGTCATGTATTCTCTCACAGCGGCCAGCTTGAATTCATGTTGGTTACAGTGTATTCCAGTTGATAGGGCCTCACAGTGGGGAAAAAAGTTATCAAAACATGGATAAAAATGTTGTAAACCATTCCTATCGCACATGGCAGTTGTCTGCCATTCCATATGCTATCTTCCAAACAGTCAAAATATTGCTAAATACACCACCTCATTTGTATCTTGCACCGTTTAGCTGTTTGTTTGTTGCTCGCAGCTACGTTTAGACAGCTAGCCACGTGAGCCCCAAACAGAAGCTGCGTCTTTCGCCCTATTTGGTGAAAATATGAGTGTTTGGAACATACTGAGCATACAGACGGAGAGCAGAGAAGTGCGGCAGGAGTGATTTGAGAAGTTTGTGTTGATGTTTTGATGCTTCTTCCGTCTTAGGAACTTGTCACTAAGTTTGAACTGAAGCCATCTTTCAAGCTGATTATGGGTGGAGTGTCACGTTAAAGCTGCACCAGCTAATATTTTAGATTAACAGAGCATCAAATTATTGTATGTAATGTGAAATGTGTCACTCGTGGTGACAAATCAACAGAGAATTAGTGCTCTAGTTCCTTCAGCTTTTCGAAACCTTTTAGCATCTTTAAGTTCATTGTTTTGGTTCATTCTCACCGCTCTCATTTGAGTGGTGTTGTAGAGTCCAAAGCAGAGCTAAAGGAGAGTTAATGCTGATGTACATTTATCAATTGACCCAAAAAAGGCTAAAAAATAGATGCTAATACGACTCTGTATCTGCTGGATGTTAGAATGTTGTCAGTGTTTGTTCGCATCTGCTCTATCAACTTTATAAGGTGATAATTATTTTCATCAATATTGTGTTTACAGCTTGTTTTGCCCCCATGTGGTCTAAAACATCGGCTGGTGTTAATGCAGGTGGAACGACTGCCTGTCATAATATTTATTGTCAGATTGTGTCTACATATTATATCAATATCCTCATGAAAGGATCCCATATCTCCCATATCCAGTAGTAATATGGCACTGTTCCAATGATATACATATCTGGTTTTGTTCCCTTTTTTTTTGTTCAAACACAGTTCAGTTATGATGCCATCTTTCAAGTTTGAAGTTTCAGGTGTCAACTTCAAATATTAGTCCCTCCAGCTGTTTTGTTGAGGTATAATGATGTATTGTTGCTTATGCTGGTCGAGCCAAGCTGCCTCGGGCACCGAAATTATGATAGCTGTTCTCGTGTTTGCTGTGGCAGCAATTCCAAATTTTGATTTGAATGTACAAATGCTAGCAGGGTATCTGCAGGTCTCCGAAGGTCTTTAACTTAATTTTCAGACATCATAAATATTTACCAGTCGCAACAGCTGGCATTGTTTTTCCCTCGTGATTCGTTGTCTGTGTCTGTGTGTGACACCTATTGTAGCAGGAAGTACCCGTGAAGCCATTTTGAATGTTTGTCTGTTTATATGTTTGTCTGTGGACAGATTTTGTCAATGTGATAATGTCACAATTGTGCAAGATGCAGTCAAGAAACTTTACAGGTGTGTAGTTGGAAGTAGGGGTGGTTTAAGTCACGCGTCGCTGTATCGTGGCTGGAGTGATCCCATTGCAAGATGGTCTCTTGTTTTCTCTTGGTTGCAGAAGACCAAGAGATTTTATTGACTGCAGGCTGTTGGGAAATGTTATGCACCCACAAATAAAAAGCAGGATTGTTTTGACAAACGATAGTTCAGGCAGGAGGCTGTTAAATCCTTGTTGTTGAGTTTCAGTTGGTACCATCACATGTGTCGTCAACCATGTCACTACTGCTACCTACAGTAGCTTTAAAGCTCAGTGTGTCAGGATGGGGAAATGTTGATTTTAGCGAAAATGTAGTCTGACTCTCCGGGTGTAGACTGGGGCTATAAGCCTGCCATTGGTTGGCGATCTAGGCCGGCATTCTCCCTCACATCTGCTGTCTGCGTGTCACTGTTTTAAATATCCCCTTCACTTCAAGAAACAATAAAAGTTGAGCTAACAATCTACACCCGGAAAATGGCAGGTTTTGACAAAGATTTGGATCGTGAAATAAGATGTCCCAGCTTTGTTGATTCAGTGAATTGTTGTAAAGATCTGCAATAAATAAAACAACTTGTCAACGCACCTCAAAAAGCCCTGATTGCATTTGGCAGGACTCTGGTGCCCGATGTCGATTTTCTTTTCGGTTCTTCTTCACACAGGCTTCTATAATATTCATACAATAGTCATAATAATGTTCTGCAAGAGCCACATACAGCCAGCAAATCATCTTTGCTTGTAACAGGTCCAGTGAGCTCCTTCAGAGCTGAAGTATAGTCAGGATTCACCTCTTGGGCACCGATGATCAAATAATGTCTTTTTTGTCAGTGAAAGATGAATCTCACAGTCAACATACGTCTGTTACTGTTTTTGTGGGAGTTTTCTTTGGCAGAGAATTAGCCATTTTAACATGTAAATGTTCCACCAAAACAAGTTCACCCCCAACACCGTCGCTGCATCCTGGGCTTAGAGCTGCACAAGATGATTTGTGATTGGTTTAAAAAAATATATAAATAAGCCAGAGCTTTATTTTCTCCCTATAGCAGAATGATAATCGGCGCTTCCAAATCTTTCTCTAGTGCTAACACAGCGCCGTGGAGATAGATCCGGCTGCGCAACACTTGCAAAAACTTAAATGACCTTTAATTAATTAGTTACTAGAATTATGCACATATCGGTTTCCAGGACACATTAATAAGAATTATTGTTATGTTCTGCTGGGAAGTACGAAAAACAATGTGATATAATAAGTAATCTTGGTTTTTCGTCATATTTTGGCCGGAATGGTTGTGAAACATGTTAAAATGGATTTTATGTGGTCCTAAAAAGATCTTTAAAAAGTCATGAATTTAACTGGATGAACTAGCTTTTAAGCCTCTGGATCAAATTTTGATGTTTATAACTTCCAAGTTGAGGGAAAACAAAACAATGGGACACTTTGAGCTGCAGCTTGAACTCGGCCTCAGACTGCAGGACAGCTCTTTGTTGCACAGGGCCGTCTTTTATGTCTCCGTGTCCCCTTGTCGTAGAAATTTAAGATCAGGATCGAGGATCCTCCCAGGCGAAAGCACATGGTGTTCCTGGGCGGAGCTGTGCTGGCCGACATCATGAAGGACAAGGACAACTTCTGGCTGACCCGGGAGGAGTACCAGGAGAAGGGAGTCCGCGTGCTGGAAAAACTCGGAGTCACCGTCAGATAAAGCACTGGACGGACAGACCGCACACACACACACACACACATACACACATATATATACAAACACACACATACATGACATGCACACATCTCCCCCTCGCCCACATCGCAGAGTATATATCTATTTATCCCTCTTCCTCTCTCTTTTGGCTCTGATACTCCTCAAACATCAGAGGGAATCAAGCCGTCACCTCCTCCTCTTTCCCCTCTCTGCCTCTCCTCTCTCCTGGTTTGGGATTGGCTCACACTTTTCCTCGCAAGCCCACGAGAACAAATTCCATTTTTGCAGATTTACACTGAAACCCCTCCTTTACTCAAACTACAAATTGAAAGGGTTAATGTTGCTCTGCTGGTGTACATCTGGTGGAGAAGGTTAAAACCAAGTCAGGAAATATTAACTGTGCTTGTTTACCTCCACATAGGTGTGTTGTGAGATATATTCGGCAGGTAAACCCACCAGCTACTGCAGCGAGTGTTCAGATAGTTTAGTTTCCTTCCTTTGATTCAACCTCCGGAGGGGATAAATTGATGCAAAGTTTCTCTAAAGCGTCTGTAATATCACAATCAGGGTCCACCACAAACAGCCACGGGCCGCTTTCAGCATCTGTTCCAGGTGAGCGAGAACTGATCACATTTTTATGTCAGTTTTTATAAACGATATCATGACTTTTTCTTTTCTGGGAGAGGGATTACTTTTTGTTCTGCTTTTACTTTTTTTTTTTTTTTTTTTGTTGGAGTTCAATTTATATCTTAACTTTTTTGTTTTTCATTGACTTTTTTTGTTGCTGTGCACTACTACCATTGTAAATGGAGTGTATTGTGGTAACAGAAGTTCCTCCATGTTTTTATGAAGAATTGATGGTTGATTTATAAAGGGACAAATACACAAAGGAAAGCCCCTGAGCTTGTCACCAGGTGTGTGATGGTACTTTGGGGTTTGTGGGTGGTGAGACAATGGGAGGGGTGGGGGTGTGATACTATTTGTTCGTCATCAGACAGCCTCGCCTCTGCCTCCTCTCTCTCTGTGTAAATCTCAAGCTGAATGAATGGGTGTGAGCAGTTGTAGCAATATTACAGACTGTGTCGACGCCATAGCACCTCACCCGTCGTATTCACTCAGATCCACCACAGCACGGAGGCAGTCGCAGGCTGAGGATGAGATCGATTTGAATCTGGGTGCAGCGCATCGTTAAACTGGGAATATAAAACGGTATTTTATCGACGTCGAAATACTGTTGAGACCATATTTAAGTTCTCCAGTCTTTCACTCCCAACAGTCGATTTAATGATTACTGGAGGCACTTCTATTTTGAGTATGAAAAAATGTGTATATTTTTTTTCTCTCCTCTTTCCATGAACGTCTATCCAGTGCCAAGTGCAGTTAATGTTAACTGGATCTCATGTTTTAATGTCTTTCTTTTTGTCACTGTTTTTGTTTTTATTTTCCTGTGTTGTTCATAGCATAACTGCCTAACGCTGATTTAAATAAAGAAAAGTGATTTATAAGGATGTCTCTGTGGTAGCCTCTTTTTTTTACTGCGTGATATGAGTAAGCATATGAGAGAAATGTGAAACCACAGTCAAAAGATTCACTCTGGATTTTACTCTGAATAGATGATTTAGTAAACCTGTAAACCCAGTGTAGTTCACTGAAGGGCTGCAGCTAACAATTATATTCATAACTCATTGATTTTCTTGATTAGTTGATTCATCATTTAGTCTACAAAAAGTAAAAAAAAAGTGTTAAAATGGCCATCATAATTCTTAAGAGCCTAACTTGATGTTTTTAAGTGTCTGTCTCACCAGCAGTTCAAACCCCAAAGATGAAATCATGACATTTTTGCTTGAAAAATGATTTAAACTGTCTCCAGATAATCAAAATATTAGCCAAATAAACATTCAGCTCCAGCAACACCCCCCAAATTCCTTAGGGTGGCCAGATGGGGCACCTGAACATCTTGAGGTGACACACCAAAACCAAAAGCCATAACTGAATTTCAGGAATTCAATTTCAGGAAACACAAATACACAGCTTTAAATTAAAGTAGAATATTGATTGTAAGGAACCTAGCAGTTACTGGGAACGAGGCTTCTTAAGTTTAGGGTAGACTTGTGGGTACCCAGAGAACCCATTCTCATTTAGGTATCGAGGTAAGAGGTCAAGGGACCCCTTTGGAAATGGCCATGTCAGTTGTTCACTCAGTAAAATTTAGTCCAACTGGAGCGTTACTTAGCTCCCTTCTCTATAAGCCTACATAGTTGGTATCAGTGGACTGCTACCTTAACAATAGCTTAAAAATGAACAAACCACAGCCTCTTTAAAGGCAGTAAGGTCGGCCATTAATGATTTGTGCCAAGGAGGGACATTAGGGGGCCGGCAATTTTATCAGGATGGCCATGTTCCCTCTTGGCTCCTCTTTGGGGGCTCCACTGTTCAGCTCTAGTTCACAGTAAACAGTGTTTCCACAGTCATTTCCAGTTCCCTTGAAAAGATTGGGAATCCTCTGTACATGCTGTATGACTACACTGAATTCAGCTCTTATTATTAATGTGGAAGTTTTAAAGAATAATTCTCATGTATGCAGTGTACAGAGATGAGTCTTGTTGCCCAGACACCGTCAGTAGTGTGACACCAATCACACTGAAATTAAGCATTTAAGTTTATCATTCTTGACAAAACCCCAACTAAGATCTGTCACCATGACAACAGAGTGCACCCACTCTGCTCCTGAAGACCATGCACTACAGTTGAAAGCTCTAGGAAAAAGCCAGCTTGTGGGCCTAAATAAGCTGGGATTGTTTTGTCAGTCAGAAAAATGTTATGAAACACAGAATATCATGCAAAGCCTGTAATGACACGCTCCACTTGTTGACATGCAGCCAGTCAACTCCAGTTGTGAGTCATCTTTGGGCTGAGAGCAACAAATTGATTAAAACAAAAAAAGGAAAAGTTCACTGATAAACATCAGTAAAATCATAAAAGAGCTGCCACAGAGAACTGATTTCCAAACCTTCCACTGCTGCTTCTGTTTTGTGTTGGAGCAGACCCTGAAAACATTTCCTGCTCGTGTTTGACTTTTAAAGCGAGATTATGTAGCTTATAAAGAAGAAATGAGACATTCCTTGTCTTGCAAACAAAAAGTTGAATTCATAAACAATAAAAAAGCAATAAAAAGCACCCTCTCTCGACTTAATTCACTGTCCTGTGCTGCTGCTACAGCCTGACTCTGTCTGGTACAACCAGTAGTTTATGTTGACTAATGCTAGTTCATGTCAGCAAACTTGAGTGTCAGGAGGCCCCCTGCAGCCTTCACCTGCAAAATATCACTCAAAATAACAGGTACAGACCAGGAAGAAACTCAAAATGACCACAAGGAGACATAAAAGACCATAAAGAGATGCAAAACAAGTACGAAGAGACACAAAATGAACAAAAAAAAGGCACAAAATTAACTCAAAGACACACTACTGGCTACAAATCATGAAAAAAAAGAGGCAACACCGACACAAAGACTGTGTGTCTTGCTTCTGTGTGGAGAGGTGGTGAGCCCTTTTGCATATCTGTGCCCAGAGGTCCATTGTCTCATAATGTGCCCATGCCTCAGTGGCCAAAAACTGTACCACTGTATAATACTACAGTGCATGTGCAGCACTGTTCAGTCACAGCTCTGCAACATAGAAACTATTTTGATATGGTCATCAGCAAAGAAGATCAAAGAAGATAATGTTCCTGTTTCCATCTTTCTTTAATGAAGCCAAGGTTTTAGATATATTATTACAGATGTTAATACAGTTGTTAGGCAGGAGCCTAACCCAGGTGACATTGGCCGAGAGGCGGGTTACACCCTGGACAGGTCACCAGACTATCACAGGGCTGATACATAGAGACAGACAACCATTCACATTCACACCTACGGACAATTTAGGGTCACCATAACCTGCATGTCTTTGGACTGTGGGAGGAAGCTGGAGTACCCCGGAGAAAACCCACACTGACACAGGGAGAACATGCAAACTCTGCACTATACTAGACTATAAATACTTAAAGTTCATGTCTTCAGTGGGCCTCAACTAACAAAAACATCATGCCAAACATCAGAGCACAGTAAAAATACCCGTCAGTTTCCTTGACACGAATGTGACATCATCAGATCTTTTTTTTTGTTGAACCAACAATCCAAAACCCAAATATATTCAGTTTAATATTGTGTAAGAAAAAGAAATGACTCATTCTAGAACCTGAAACCATCACATGCTGACACTTTTGCATGCGAAATGACTGGTTAATGGTTGCAGAATAATTCTCTGTGTGCCATCGTGCAGCTGTAGTTCTTTGCAGAGCTGAAGGTAAGATTAGATGATACACAAACACTGCACCAGAGGAACGGATGGACGAGGTATGGAGGTGACAGAGGCTCGGCCACAGAGGAGGAGGAGGAGGAGGAGGAGAGCTCTGCACACACAGACCAGGAGGAGGAAGAGGAAATGGAACAGTGGCAGAGGACTGGCGCCACCAGAGGAAGAGGCTCTCTTTCCGTGCCTGAAATAAAGATCTCACCCAGACTCTTCCGGCCTTGTTCCATTTTAATCCCTCGACTCCTGCCACTTCCCTCTTAACCATGAACTGTTACCTCTGAAGCATCGTTTGAAGTTTCCTCCCCATCAGAGCACAAACAGACGCATCCTCAGGTCTCAACAAAGGACATTCACTAAGATACTTTGATGCAGTTTCGGGGACTGGTTCTTGTTTGAAACTTTCAGTATTACAGCTGTGGCTGCTGCTGACTCTTCAAACTCATATTATCAGATAAGTTACATGCATTTTTCTCTTGTCTGGTGAAATTCTCAACTTCTCTCTCAACAATATTTCATGCACATGCACAAAAAGCATGATAACAGCATGACTGCACACTGAATTTTATACATTTTAGACATAGTTCATGAATGAACTTCGAACTGCAGCTCTTAAGCCAAATTGCTCAGAACATTCTATGGAAATTCTGCGGAAGCAAACTCCATCTGTTAATTGTGTGACATGATCAAAAGCTCCAGTACAGCCACTAAAGTATTTTTAAAAAATATTTTTAAACCCTTAGAGGAGCATACAATCCTCTGACTAACATTAAATGAAACTTCTGCTTTCAATTTTAAAACAAAACTCTCCACATCACCAAAAATCTCTCCAATTTTTTCACTTTTGTTTCATTTTACCTCTCAGCTTTTGTCACTGACATATACCCATGCAACTTGTGTTCAGTGGTGTATCAGTATTCAAATCGTTTACTTAAATAAAAGTACTACTAACACACTAAACATACTCTGTTGCTGGTAAAAGTCCTGCATTGAAAGTGTTACATAATTAAAAATATTCAGTACAATCAGGACAATGTATTTAAGTGTTAAAAGCAAAATGACTCAATGCAGAAAAAATAATAAATTGAATTAATAAAAATTATTAAAATGAAGTAATATTTAGGAAGCTTGAACTATGTTTTTTGCATGAAAAAATGACAAAAAATTATCAAAATAGTACTTAGTAAATAGTACTTCTAAGAAATTAAACGTTGAAACATTGTGCAGGAGAGGTTAGAAGCCAAAAATGGCTGGTGAAGATACTTCCTCTATTAAATAACAACAATCATACATAAAAAGAAAAAGTTAAAAACAAAGAATTGCATAATTGAATAAGAGTTCCAGACTAAGAAGTATTACAAAATTGTTAAAGATGTGCAATTTACTGAAAAAAGAAAGTACAAATACAAAATTCATTGCTAGTAAGTTTCAATGTCATCACTGTTCCCCTCTGAAGTGTAATGGAGTAGAAGACAGTGGCATGAGATTAAAATACTCGAGTAAAAGTACCTCAGATTTTCACTTTAGGACAGTACTTGAGTAAACGTACTCCACCACTGCTCTTGTTCATACATCAGTATTTTATCACAGCAACTGTCCCTCAGTATCAGTACTTCTACTTTTGGTGCTTGAGTACATTTCACTACTAAAACATTTATTTGTAAACTTTTTGGAGGACCTTTGTGACAAAATAATGACTTTTAAAATGACTTTGCAGTACTTTGTTATCTTCATAAACAACACTGTTTTGTAAGTTGCTTGTGCACAAACTCTCACCAGCTAAAACATTTTCCACAGGGTGGGAGTAGAGAGATGCTTTTTTTTCCTCCACAGTGTCACACAGTTTATCTCAGGTGCAGGGTTTGAACCCAGTCAGGCAATGCTTTAACAATTATCCTGCTCTGTGCAAGCTTCACTTCTGCAACATCGCAGCTCTGTGTGCGTTTATCAGGTAGTTTAGACCTGACAGAGAAACACAACAGGATGAGATGTTGCAAAAGTAATGCTCACTGGGTGCTAACGTAGAACAAAATCTCAGTCCCAAGGAGGACAACATCAAATTCCACCTATCTTTGGACATGAGACCACAGCACTGGTGTGGGACGAGCCACCCATTCCTGTAAACTTCACTGGAAGTGAGCGCCGGTGCTCTGTGCACCCAGAGAGGGGCCATGCTGACCCCATTACACGAGCAGATATCTTAAATGTTTGCACATGTGGACTGAGATGCTGTTTGCAGCCGTTGAGCTGCTTAGCAGGCCCCCAAAAGCCCTCAGGGACCTTCTTTTTCTTCTCTTTTCTCTCTCTTCCCTCCCCCTCCCCTCTCTCGCGCTCCATCATTATCGCCCACATGCTTTTCCAGAGACATCCTGAGTGAAACAGCTCGACGTCCTCGATGGCTATCACATGTTCCTGCTGGGGAGGGAGGCAGCCGGGGAAAGACATCTTGAAGAAAATGAAACAGGGTGTACTAGGCCAAAGTTTCTTTGTGCTTTCTTTCATTAGATACGTGACGAAGAGTTGTGTGCATCAAACTGAGGAAGGTTTTAGAACGGAGCACGAAACCTGCGGCCTTGACTGACATTGTTCATCCTAAAGATCTCCTCAGGACATCCTTCCTGCCTCGCAATTTTATTTCTCTCTAAAGATTCTGTATTTGTTTTTAAAAACCTGTTCAAGGACTTTATATGGCTTTAAACTATTTATTTAATGTTTGCGTCTTTGTCCGACATAAACTCACAATAAACTATTTTAGATACTGAAAGAGGGACTTTAATTTTGACCTGATTTGACCTATTTGTCCCTGCAAAAATGCAATTCATTATACTTGAACCATCTGTTAGGATTTGATTTGCAGCAGGAAGTGATGTTTCGTTTTAGCCAAGCAAAATTTGGATAAATTCTTTGTACAGAAATTCATGTTCCCCCAGCAGGATGAATCCTACTCACTTGGTGACCACTGACTTTCTTCATCACCATTAGCACCAACGCCCCCCCCCCCCCAAACACTGAAGTTTATGACTAAATACCTACAAAACTAATGACATTCCCATTAGCTTTACTTTGTATTTGGTGCTAAACAGAAAAAGCTAACAAGCTTAACTAAGAGCATTGTTACCCCCACTACTAGCATTATTAGCTTAGCACTGGGGTCGTCCTATTCCCAGGGTCTTATGCTCCCATGGGCTCAGTCTAGCCTTGTGTTGAGTTTTTCACCATTTGTCTATTGATATAAACCAGCATTGTAAGAGACAGGTTAGAGTTTAAATTGCAAAGAGAGATAAAAGTTTCAAATGCTGTTAAAGAATCCATTCAGCCACTGGGGGGTCTTGAATCAAGAAAACTGCCTCACCCACATGTTTTAGGGTGCAGGTTTCAAGCATAGAAAGTATAAAATAATGAGCGTAGCTATCAAGCTTCAAATTGGGCATTTTAGCCATCTCCATCTTGTTTTTTTAATTTAGAAGTGACCATATTTGGACTAAAGGGTGGAGCTGTGGAAGACCAAGAGATGGATCTGACTCACCCCAGATGTTCCTCTCCCTAGCAACACTTTCCAGGTCCTCCTGGGGCATCCTGAGGCGTTCCCAGGCCAGATGAGATATGTAATCTCTCCAGCGTGTCCTGGCTCTACCCCGGGGCCTTATACCAGTGGGACATGCTCTAACAGGGGGCGCCCAGGGGGCATCGTAATCAGATGCCCGAACCACCTAAACCGACCCCTTTTAATGCAAAGGAGCAGCAGCTCTACTCCGAGCCCCGGCCAGATGACTGAGCTCCTCACTCTATCGCTAAGGCTGAGCCCAGCCACCCCACAAAGGAAAGTCATTTTGGCTGCTTGTATCCATGATCTCTTTTGTCATGAATGTTCAAATTAGCTATTGAGACTAAAACTGCTTTTAAAACCAGTCTGTTAACGTGTTTATTTCTGCTGTAAAGATGTGCATTTTAACATGGGGGTCTAAGAGGATTGACTAGCTTCTGGAGCCAGCCTGAAGTGGCCGTTAGAGGAACTGCAATTTTTAGCACTATGCACTGACTTCATTTTTAGCACTGAAAGTTGCTGCTTGGTTCCAAGGGGTATAACATCAGTGGGCCACATGCTATAGGTGACTGATTTCAACATAATGACCCTGGGAAATTTACACTGAACATTTGAAATCCTTTAAAAGGTCTCCTTAGGGTGCTTTCTCACCTGCCCTGTTTGGTTCTGTTCAGTTGAACTCAAGTTCATTAGCTCCCTAAGTGTGGTTCGTTTGGGCAGGTGTGAACACAGCAATCACACTCAGATGCGCACCAAAACAACCGGACCGAGACCTTCTTAAAAGTCCGGTTACAAATGAAGTCTGGTGCGGTTCGTTTGTGGTGAGAACGTGTTCCGACCTGGATCTGAACCAACTGCAGTCACATGACACATTGTTTGGGTTAAACATGAGCATGTTGCAGTCCTGGAGGATTTTTAATGTGCACCTCCTCCTGTACTGCCTTAATATGCACATTCAGCACATCCAATGCATCAAAACATTGTTTTCTAGTTGGAGCCGCGCCTCGTTTTCAAACTGTATGGTTTGACTAAAATGAACAATGACAGCAATATAGTCCACGATGAGCAGCGCTAAAATCAACCTGCGTAGTTGTCCCTCCATTGTGACATTAGAAAGTGTCACATTCATCTTGCAAGTGTACTCTTCTTCAACGTTTGGTTTACTTCCTGGATTTTTCCCACATGGAAATTCTGACCAATCAAGAGCAGCTTTCTCACACAAGGCATTTGATCTGGTCCGCTTGTAAATGCTGCCGTGAGAACACGAACCAACTCTAGGCAATTATACAACTTTGTCACAGAATTAGTCCCTGATTCAGACCAAAGCAAGACAACTCTAGGTCTGAAAGCACCCTTATTGTGTCATATTAAGAGGATATTAAGATGGGGGACACAGGACCCTGTGAACATAGATGCATTCCCAAAGCAATACTGTGTGTAAGTACAGAAGGGCCAGCATGAGTGTAGACTCCTGACCCATTTTGTCCCTTTAATTAACTGATTTGATGCACTTATAGAAACCTGAAATAGGAGGAACAGGGAGGTAAATGATGATGCATGCAGCAGAAGCTCTGCGGTTTGTTAAAATAGCCATTTATGGGGAAGTACCTTCGATCCGAGAGTAAAATTAAGCAGCAGACTCGCGTGTGGTTTCACTGTTTTCTCTCATTTTATTGGAGGCGGAAGGTAAGACACACATTTCACTTTAGTTTTCTCACAGACCTGGCCACCCTTCAGTATCTACAAAGTACTTCCTGTTCCTTCTCGAAAGCAAGAGCTACATCCATCGTACATGTTAGAAACAGTTATTTTAAAAAAACAAAAATAGAAATAAAAATGTACAACATACACTTGATATATATAATATAATTTTTGCTCTTTTTTTTACAGAGGTAAAAATACTAAGCGTAAAAAATGGGTCTAATTCATTACAGGGTGTCGTTTCTTTAATTTTTCAATTTAAATACACAAGGAGATAAAGAGGATGCGTTCAGGCACTTGTAAATGGCTCTGACATGTGAGAACACACTCAAACACCAGACGAGACAGAGAAAAAAGATTTAACACACACACACACACACACACACACACACTCGCTCACACACTCTTTCCAATCTGATTGGCCCTGTCCCTAATACATCACATCATCCAAGGATCTGATTATACTGGATAGGTGTTAGTATGTGATAGCATATTTAGCTGACCCCAGTAGCTTTGGATCAAGGAACAGGAGAGGGGAAAGGGATGTGGGATAAACACACACGCCCACACACACACACACACACACACTAAGGACGTACATACTGGTACACAGGACAGGATGTATGAAACAGACAACCAGGGAAGGGAAAAGGACATCCTCAGGCATTCTGTATTTCAACTACAGTAAGTGACATTTCCTTGGCAAAACAATCAGGGGTGGATGTTTGTTTCCAGCGTTTCAGCTGTTCTTCAGACTCCTGTTCTTTTCCAATGGGACCCTACTGATGTCCTGCTTCTTCTTTTTTTTTTTTTAAATTATAAAAAGCTTATTGTATTCCCGGTCACATCCTCTAACGCCACCATCAACCGGGCTTAGACGAAGCATAAAGCACCCAAGCGGTTGTCAGTTTAGTGTTGTGCTGTCAGTGCAAGGGCGTGATTGGCTGGCTGCTGTGTCACTCAAACAGTGGGCGACACAGGCAGGCAAGACGGCGTTTTTGTTTTCCTCTAATGCCTGAGTTTGTACATCGACACACACACACACACACACACACACTACGACACAGACTTTAACTGTTTCGTAAATCAATAGTCGAATATCCGATGTTATGTTTGTGGGCATGATAATGTGGCAAATCTGGCATGGAGGAAAAAAATACGCTGTTGGACAGAACGATAGCGCCCGCCAGTCACATGTGACTGTGGTTTCAGCAAGTTGTCTTAAAATAAAAATACAATTTGGCCATGACGATGCAGCAGGTAACTTTTATAAAAATCATTATATCCTGACAGTAGTACATATGAAAAAAATCAAGTTCCTCCTCCTCATCCTCCTAGTGCTCCTAACGGCATTTGTAAGAATCCACTATCCACCAATCAGAGCCAGGAGAAGTCTCTCACACATGTAAATCGCTGCTCGTGCACACAATGCACTGCCAATAACAGTGTACATGGTGAAGACATGTAAAGAGAAGACGATGACGAAAAGCTTTCTTTCACTCCCACTATTCTGGAATCTGATTGGTTGTTTTCGTTCAGGCCCGGTTGATTCTTGCACATGCCATTAGGAGCACTAGGGGGAGCCAGATTATTTGTCTCATGTACCACCGTCAGGATATAGTGACAGTTTCAGAGAATGTAACCAAATGTTTTTTCTAAATAAAAAAATACTTTCTAAATGTTTAAAGGAATACTTTGGACTTTTTGGTAAAACTCATATATCTTTTCTTCTACTGAAAGGTCAGTAATAGCCAAGCAGCCAAGAGATGATTAGCTTAGCTTAGCATAAAGACTGGGAAACAGCTAGCCTGGCTCAGTCATCAACATGTTATACCACATTGTATCTTGACTGAACAATTTTGAACAATTTTGCACTTCAAGTTTCGCTCTGACTAAAACAAACAACATATAACATGTTAGTAAGTGAGACCTCTAAGGGCCTGTGTGCACATAGCGTTTTCCAACAGCAGAAAAAGTGTTGGCAGCACTTTTTTTAAAATGACATGCTGCGTGTGGGTTTGTTTCTATGACAACAATATCTTGACACTAACATTAGCCAGGTAGCTAACATAACGCGGCATCAACAGAAGGTTGACTACACAGTCGCAAAGGGTGATCAAAGCACAACACACACACCAGCAACAGCGAGTGTCTGCCATTCGATCTGCTCCCAGAAAATTAGGTTTTCTGTCATTGTTGTGACAGTAGACAGTAGCTTAGCTAAAGCAGCAACAGTGACATCACCAAAAGAAGACGCCAGCACTGAGAAAAAAAAGACTACATGGACACAGGCCCTAAAGCTGGTAGGTGGATTTTGTAACCTTTGGACAGAGTCAGGCTTGTTGTTTCCCCGTTTCCAGTGTTTATGCTAAGCTAAACGAACCGCCTCTCGAACATGACAGTGGTATCGACCTTCTCATCTCACTCTTGGCAACAAAGCCAAGACATGTACCTCCTGAAGTGTCAGATTATTCCTTTCACAACTCAAGAATGACACGTATACTCATATTTTATAAATAACTGAAATAAGACTCACTCGCAAAACAAGAAAATTAAGGGTTTTATACTAATTTTCACTTGTAAGGTTGCTTTAACACCTGTATTTGTTTTTTAAACTTACACTTTGTAGGAGGATATTATGTGTTAAATAATTTTAAACACATCTCACCACTAATTTAATTTGTTGCACCATTCAGATCCCTATCAATTCAGACTTTGCTGTTCCACATGTGACCGGTGGGCTCCACTGAAGGCTTAAAGAGGGGAGTTGATTGTACATCGCAAGCAAACTGGAGTCCTTAGTTTACATGAGAACCTTTTTAAGAGTTCCTTTTCATTACAAAAATAGTTTAAACCAAGTTTAAAAGAGTACGTGGTGAGGCTGATTGCTTGGAGCCGTAACCGTGCTCCTGTTTTTCATTGTAGCAGACATCTTCAGAGGGATGGGGGTGAAGTTTGGAGCCAGACTCCACATTTTAAGGCATAACGGGCACCAAGTTTAACGGTATCTCTTGATTGATTTTTCAGTCCTTGACGTGACATGGACTGCTGACTGAGGTTCTGCAGAGGATGAGGAAATCAGAGCCTTAAAATCTTGCACCGCTTTGATTATATATTCTGTAAAATATGCCAAAAAGCTGACTGGAATTATAAGACTGGATGGGTTCCTGGTTTAGGCGGTAGTTTAGGCACTGTTTGAAATAACATGAAAGGAGCAGGGAGACGGATGCTTGAGTATCGTAGCATGACTTGGAGCACCGTCTCATTCAGTGAGTGAATCACAACCCAGCACCTTTTTGCTGGTAGATCAATTCAGTGAGAAAATAAATAGAATAAAAACACGAATCTTTGGGATATTAGAAGATTAAGATGAGTACCACATTTGTTTCAGTGAACAAAGAAGATGTCGATGGTGGAGAGCTATGTAGACTATATACATGAGCTTTACTATGAGCTGCAGTACAGACAACAGAAGGCCTCGGTGCACATTGTAAGCATGCACATATACCATCCACACACATACACACACTCACACACGCAAAGAGGTGTAGTGTCTGATTTCTCATGTAGCTGGAGTTGAGCTGAGCGGGCCTGATATTGGAATAGATTATAAACAAAATGGCCACGCGTACATCAAAGGAGAGAAAAAATAGAACAAAGGAACAATTCAAGTTCTTTGACGCCGAGTCAGTGTACAAAGTATAAAGTACCTGCATATGTGATACATGACATATAGGTCAGCTATAAAAAAAGGCCCCCTGAAAAAGAGTGCTCTCTCACTAGAAACAGAGCATGAAATGGCCATGTGGAGAGCTGAGAGAACTGTCTGCCGTAAGGGGGAGCTTATCTTCCCAGGCCGTTCAGAAAATGCACCAACTGTTTTTTTTTTTGGCTTATTTCAGTGTCTGGAATTTGTAGAGAATCCCAGAGAAACCAAGGCAAGAGAGTGAGCAGCCACGACCACTTGTCCCCTCTGTGTATTTCCCCGTCCTTCCCTTTCCCTGTGCTTGTGTTGGGTTTAGATTTTTTCCTCCGAGAGGCTTCCGAGCGCGGCGGCTCAGCTTAGGGCCTTGTGTCGGCCTCCGCAGCAGCCGCACCTGAGCCCCGCCCGGTGGCAAGCATGGAGAGGCGGGTAAAGGCAGAGGCAGGGCGCCACCAGAGACAAGCCGAGAAGAGCTAACCAGCGTGTGCCGAGTCGACCTCCCCCGCTGCTCTCGCCCCCGTCACAGGAGCAGGGGTCTAAGTAGTCCCCCTCTGGATCGGACATGCAGTGGTAGAGCATGGTGTCTGCCAGCCACATGCAGCTGACCCGCCTGATGCACGCCCGCACAGGGTCCGGCGCATCGTGGCATCGGCCTCTCCGGTTGTCGGAGATGAAAAAGGCCTCGCCGCAGTGCTCGCACTGAGCTCGCTCCAGCCCATCCTCCTTCCGCCCCTTCCCGCCATTGGTGGATGGCGAGGAGCTCGGGAGGAAGGAGCGGGGCTGGCTGGAGACCACAGAGGAGAAGCCCTGGCGATATGAGCCGCCATGGCCCTTACTGACCAAGGGTCCGAGGGCGGGGTCAGAGTCTGAAGGCGACAAGGCCGGTGCCAGAGGATAGGTGTAGTCGTGCTTCTGCGCCTCCGTCTTGGCAAAGTGGACATAGGACTCAGAGTCGTCCATTTGGATGAACTTGTCACGCACTGTGGCGTGGCGGTAGTCCTCGTAGCCCGTGAGCCAGGCACGATCTGACTGGCGTCCATAGTGACGCTCGGTGGTTCGCTCCCAGCTGCGCTCCCGAGGGTTGATGCGGACGATTTCCTCGTCCTCCTGGAAGGTGACATGACGGGGAAGCCGAGACAACGGCTGAAGAGGAAGACAGAATGAAACTTAAATATTGCTGGCAGTACATCAGCAGTAAACAGCAACAACCATATTTATTTCTACAAAAAATATATCATAATCAAAAAAAAATTTCAGGGACAATAAATATCTAAACAAATGTCTTTTCCACTGTCCGTCCTTTTACTCACCTGGTCCAAGAAGTAGTGGTCTGAGAGCTGATAGGGGTCGTGGAGGTCGTGGCGATGTCCCAACATGCACTTGTGTCTCTGCGGAAGAGGCGAGGACTCGAGCGGCTGCAGAGAGCTCTCCAGTTTCTGGGAGGAGTTGGATGAGCTGTCTGTGGTGTTCTGAGGGCACAAACAAACACAGGATGCCGGCTGAAAGCTGCACTCTGATTGGATACGCCAAACAAATAGTTGGTCCGAGAGGACGCCATGATTGGACAAACAAAAACAGGAAGCCTCGGCGCAGCTCTGATTGGGAAAACAGGAAGCGTAAGCTCTGCTTCTCGAGCCATTTGATCCACATTTGGATCCCTGTGTGTGAGTTTAACTTTCATAAACAACATCTGCCATGAAACATCTGCAGCAGCCACTAAAAAAAACAATGCAGGAATCATCAAATTCGGCACAGGTCTGCCCTCATTAATATAAACAGGGTGGACAAAATATTAGAAACGCCTCAGTATATCTCAATAGAAGTCAACGACAGCAGAAACTGCAGCCTTTGAAATAACTATAAAATCTACAGTTAAATCCACACTGTTCTTTAACAATACTGACAAAAACAATATAACCTTTATGAAGGTAGGATTTATTGCGGACTGATACTTGGATACCATTAGTTTTAAGTGAAAACTTAAACCAAGACCAACTGTCTGAAACCCAAAAAATAATAAATTTACATGACATAAACCTCTGGCTAACCTTTAGTGTCCAGTGTGTAAGATTTTGGGGGATTTAGTGGCATCTAGTGGTGAGGATACTAGACTGCAACCAGCTGAAACTTCTCCCAGTTAGAATTCCTTCAGTGTTCAAGTAGTTTCAACCAGGAGCTGAATTATCCAGAAGTTTAATCCTCTCCAGAACAAACAGACCTGGTGATTTAAACCGGTAAAACACTGAATAAATTATTTTCAGCTTAAAAAATCTGTGTTTTCCGGCCCTTTTTGTTGCTTAAGAGCTGCAAACTACAGTGGCTGTTGCGAAAAAGCGAATGGCCCTATCTAGAGCCAGTGTTTGGTTTGTCCGTTCTGGGCTACTGTTGAAACACCTGCTCCCTATGTTGATACAAACAGCTCATTCTAAAAGATAACAAGAACACAATTCTTATTTTCAGGTGATTCTACACTAAGGAAAACATACATCTATTTAATTTCTGCCAATGTATCCCCCTAAATCCTGCACACTGGACCTTTAATTTGACAGATCGTTTCAGCACTAACACAAACAACCATAAAGTAAATAGTACCTACACCTGCTAAGTCCACTTTAACACAGATAATATCATTTGATAGTTTAGAGAAGGATCATTCATGCTTGATATAAAGGTGGTGGTGTGACTTGATATTGGGAAGCCAGCATTCTGCATGCACAGTTTTTTGCAGTATCACCTTTTTTGGCCTCTCCCCTGAGTCTTCTCCCCCAGCAACCTGTCCTCCTTCCCTCAATCTCACTTTCTACACATTCCACCTTCCCGTCTCTCTTTCCACCACTCTTTGTGTTTGTGTGTGTGTGTGTGTGTGTGTGTGTTTTTGTGTGAACAGTATCCTGTCCCCTTTCCGCTAAAGGCTGTCAGGGCTCCACTCCAACTCAAACCTTGGCCAGACACTAGACAGTGGAGCCGCTGCCGTGTAGCGCTCAGACAGACAGATTTCAGACAGGCACACTGAGGATTTGCCAGCTGATAGGACTCTTGTCTCATCATGTCAACCTGGTTATGTGTGTGCCGAGATATTCAAGACGTGACCCAGTGACAAGGGGGCAGGTGTTTGTGTGAGAAAAACTGGCTGAGATGGAGTAGATTTTCTTAATGAATCATATGAAAGAGATATGGTCTTTCCTAACTCAGTGATCCCTCTCTGTGTTGTTTAATTTTGATTTGAGTACCACATGGCTAATCACCAGGAGTCAACAGAGCTGTAGAAAGTTGTATCAATGGTCAACAAGCTTGTCTGCCAAAAAAAAAGGAAAAAAAAAAAAAAAAAAAAAAAAAGTTTGGCCATGGCTGAATTTTACATCATCATCTTCTGTCAGCAGCTCACAGCAGCTGAGATTTCCGTGCTTCCTTTTTTCCGAACTGATGTGATTTTATTCCAAGAGAGAAAAAAAATTCCACCTGACAAGCACAAAATAGATGAGAAGTTTGATTCATGCTTTTCAAATGTTCCCAAATCTCTTCAACTTTTACTGGAAAGAAACCAATGCCTCAGGAAGCGGCGGCTGTAGCTCAGTTGGCCCTGTCCACATGTTGAAGTGTCCTTGAGCAAGACACTGAACCCCAGATTGCTCGCAATGTACAGTATGCGTATGATGAAACAAGAGTCCACAGCCATGCTCACTTGCCGCTCTGTGAGGCTGTGCTTTGAGCTAAAAGCTAATACTTGGATGGCAACAAGCTCACAATGGCATTGCTAACATGTTTAACATTTTGACCACCTTAGCTGAGCCTGTTAGCATGCTAACAAGTAGCGGTTACCACAAAGTAGAGCTGAAGCTGATGGGAATGTTGTTAGCTTGGCAGGTATTTTGTCTTAAACAAAAATACATGATAAATTCAAATTTCAACCTGGTTACTGGATGAAAAGTTAAAGGAATACTTCACCCACAAAAAGACAATTTGCAAAAGTCAAGGGATCACTTAAGTCATTAGGATTAATTGTTGTTCAAAACATTGTATGAAACCATTTCATAGAAACTGACAATTTTCACCGAATAAGTCAAAGACCAACACTGCTATCCTTAAATATGTTCAGTCACTTTGGACAAAAAGCTGCCAAAATTAATGTAACCTGACAAACCAATGCCCTGAAAATGGTTGCATCCATCACTGGGATCAGCAGGAAGCACTGACTTTTAAAGTTCTAAATTACTTTCAAATGATTCGACATCTTTATCACCTCATTATCGAAACAGTGCTATACTAAGATTGTCACATCAAATACAGCAGAGGCTTTAAGGTTTCTTCCCCTCACTAAACTGCTCCAACCTACAATCAGTCCCAACAGAACCATACACTCTGCAGCCACTTTATTAGGTACACCTTGCTAGTACCAGGTTGGACCCCCCTATGCCTCCAGAACTGCCTTAATTCTTGGTGTCATAGATTCAACAAGGTCCTGGAAACATTCCTCAGAGATTTCGGTCCATATTGACATGATAGCATCACGCATTTCACCCAGTATGGTCTTCTGCTGCTGTAGCCCATCTGCTTCAAGGTTGGTTCAGAGATGGTCTTCTGCAGACCTTGGTGGTAACAAGTTGTTAATTGACTTCCTGTTGCCTTTCTGTCATCTTGAACCAGTCGGGCCATTCTCCTCTGACCTCTGGCATCAACAAGGCATTTTCATCCAGAGAACTGCTGCTCACTGGTGCTACGTTCAAAGTCACTTAAATCACCTTTCTTCCCCATTCTGATGCTCGGTTTGAACTTCAGCAGGTCGTCTTGACCATGTCTACATGCCTAAATGCATTGGGTTGCTGCCATGTGATTGGTTAATTAGCTATTTGTGTTGATAAGCAGTTGAACAGGTGTACCTAATAAAGTGGCCGATGAGTGTATTTCTTGCAGTGTTAACACGATTCATTGTCAGGTATCACCACCGGAAACCCCAACAAACTTTTTCTCAAACTTTAAGAAACTGACCAATTCTACTCCATGTGTCAAAATCCTGGCACTGTGACAAACCTATAACCAATGGCATGAATTATTTGCCAGACTTATATGACCCAGATCTAGGGTCTGTCTGTCTGTCTGTCTGTCTGTCTGTCTGCTGAAGCTATCCCCGATTATATCCTGCTCCCCACATGGATACCGCCATGCTGAGAATTTCCCCCAGCTTTCTTACAAAGCCCTCAGAGCAGCCGGCCAAAAATAACATAACATGCTGCCTCCGCTCGGGGCCCCGCCCCCCTGGAGAAGACATTAACGGGGGGAGGAGCCGATATGGTTTAAAACCAGTCCGACTCTGGCCTCCACGGCTGCAACTAATTCAAAACACAGACACAGACTCTCTGCTGCGAGCTCAAACTGCACACGAGGAGAGAGGGAGACAGACAGGAGTTGAGGGGGAGAGTTTATATTTCTGGACATCCTCTGTCTATATATTCTGGCCCAAGGCTGGACAGAGGGCATTTCAAGTTATTTTCTGACACAAAACATGCCCTGACTCAAAGCTCGGGAGGATTCATCCTTCAACAGGGCTGTCTCGCTCTCCTGGGATGAGCCCAGAATTGCTTCAATAGCTCTCACTCCCCCTGTTGTGAATGAGCCAAAATAGAGACAGAGAGAGAGGGAGACGTGCTGAAGGGAGGGACAGAGGAAGGGTTGGGTTAAGTTTAGGTTTGGCGAACGAGGAATAATTTAGGGAAGTATGTCCATCCTAGCTCTCCCACCCCTCCGCACTGTCCTCCTCCGTCCCCCCTGAAGGCTGTAAATCTGCTGCAGCATTTCCCCCTGTCCACGACTGCCCGCCTCGCAAACTCTGCCGCCACCGCTAACTTTAGGAAAGGTCATTAGCACAGGCTGAGAGGAACACAAGCAGCACTGAGCCCCGTCAGTGTATCCCATAGTTATCAACTTGTGATTTTCATTGTTAATTCTGAATTCAGATGGTTATTCACGAGACAAGATGAAGTCCCAGGAGCAGAAGGAGTGAAATAAATGAGACACAGCATTGTTTTGTCTCAGTGTTTTTGTAATTTCAACACGCCAACACACTTTTTTGTGCCAAATTTGTTTTCCAAAGTGCTGCTCGATACTCTGTGCTTTCAATTATATGTTTTTTGGATTGAAAATACAGACTACAGGCTTGTAATTCCTTTCATTCAGGCAAAGAATGTATGTGCAGGTCTGCTGGCTATTAGCTGCAATCTTTGTGGTGTGTTCAAATACAAATTTTAAAAGCAGACATGCAAAGTATTTCTCAAGTCAGCCGTTGTTGGTGCTGATTCTTGGTGTTTCAGGGCCCTTAAAGCTCAAACACCTAACAGGGTGAGCCATCCCTGTGCTTTAAAAATTGAGCTGTAACACTTATGAGTTCCTACAGCGCTTCAACTGAGCAGCTGAGTCTTATTTGGGGTGAATATGGCGGCTTTTTATGCAGTAACACTAGAGAACTGCCTCAGATTTGTTGCACTGAAAGCTTCCACTTTCCTAAAAAACCTGATGCTCCATTTCAGGGGTTGCTCCACCCCTCTGACAGCGCTGTAGCCTCCCCTCCACCCCTCCTCATGTGTTTGTATGCGTCTCTGTGGTGGCTGTACACTCCCAGCAGAGCACCTATTAGTCTTGGCCCTTACAGACAGCTCGAGTCAAAGATGAACCACGAGGCACTTCCTCTCGTAAATCACCGGCCCTGCACTAAGCTGGGAAACAGCTGCTAGCTGCTAGTTTGGTGGTGGCTTTCTTTTTCAACTGGGAGGGTGGGTGAGGAAGGAGGGAGGAGGGGAGAGGGTCGTCAGGAGAGAGCGAGGTGGCGGGATACAGGAAGTGACCTTATGACCTGGCCTGCTGCTCCTGGTGTCAGGTTACAGAGTGGGGGGAGGGGGTCCTTCATGCTAGCTTAAGGTAGAGAGGCCCTCACACACAACAAAAAACACACACACACACACACACACACACACACACACACACACACATACACTTCATGTGCTGTGGCAGGTATCTTGACACCGGGAGGGGATCCTGAGTGAAGTTGAAATACTTTGCGGACATGGATGAAGCAAAGTTTTGAGATGTGAGAACAGTTGATCAGTGTGTGGTACTACTTCTGTTTCAATGATGAATCCTGAGGGTGTTTATCGCCATCAACAGCTTCCTAGTTCACAATGTCATCACTTTAATGACATACCCAGACTTATGTGGAGACATATCACTTGGTAAATGAACTAAGTTTGATTTTGACAGTTTATGTCAAAGTCCTTTCATCCATCATTCTGTTCAGACTTCATATCCTTGACACCTCAGGGGCCGATCACATGCCACGTTTTTGGCACCCTCAGCTCTATTGTTGTTAATGTAGATGTGGGAAAGGCGCATAGAAGTGTTCATGAGCTCCTATTTTTCAGAGTGCGATGGCTGCACCCTGGGATAAACAAAGTTCAACTTTTGGAAAGCAGCAATGTGCATGGCAAGTCATGTGACAAGGAACAACCAATTACAGCCAGCAGATATCTGGCAGAGTCTGTGGTAAATATAAAGGAGAAGTTGATTTTTAGAGAAGGGCTACCTTGAACTTAACAATCTGTCCCATGGACAATTTTTTTTTTACACCTAATCCACACTTAAAAAACAACGGACGAAAAGATCATCAGCTCCAAACTTGGGGTTACTGTACACAGGCCTGGATAGAGTGGGGAACTGCCCATTGGTCCGACAGCCCATTGGTTCGACATCCCATTGTTCCGACCATATTAAACCCATTGTTCCGAAGTCCGTTCTGAAATCATCATGATGCCCTGTGGTTAAGGTCTGGTTAGGTTTAGGCACAAAAACCACTTGGTTAGGGTCAGGAAAAGTTCATGGTGTGGGTTAAAATGAAAAGGAAAGTGACAAACACATAAGCCATGAGCCTGCTCCGCCTCAAGCCTTTCCCAGCTGACCCAGAGCCGTTCAGCACCGCGGACAGTCGGACTAATGGGATGTTGAACCAATGGGCTGTCGGACCAATGACATGGACCCATAGGGTGCTGGTATATTTGCTTGGTAACGTCAGATGCATCCTGCTTCTGCCCCCTTGAAAGTTGCTAGCAGGGACAAGAGCAGCACCCATCACCCAACCTCGCGTTTTCCAGGTGATAAAAGACGCTGCCTGTGTCCTAGCCCTTATTTAGTCACGTGACAACACAGACATGCAGCAGTTACACGTGGCTAGTTGTATAAAACAGATTGACTTTCTATAACCCATAATTCCAACATGTATAGGACATGAATGCAGGAAACTTACAGTGAAGACGTCGTCGTCACCAAGCTCGCCCTCATTCTGGAGTGCTGTAGAGGAGGTTGTGGAGCCTACAGAGAGGAAAACATCCATTACTTCAGGGCTCCAACACCGTACTGGAGGATTTATTCATGAGGGTAAACGCCTTTGCACACCAAGTACACTGACTCAAAAACTGGTTCAATTTTCTTCCTTTTCTCACATCTGTCAAAAGCCGTCAGAAAGTTGTTAGACCACCAAGCAGTGAAGAAAATGTGGCGTAACCTGCAGGATGCACAGCTAGATACGCAACAAGAGGAACGGGGTGCAGAGTATCATTTCATAACTCAGATAGCCTGCTTTCAACAGGTCAGATAGTACAATTCAAGTGGATGACGATGACGAGGAGGAGGATGTGATAGAGGGTGAGAACAGCACACAGACAGAGAGAGAAACAGCTCAGCCCATGCAGGTAGCTGCAGTGCCAAATGCAAGGCACGGGCAGAGTGGCGACTCCAGTGGAGAGAAACAAGGGAGGAAATGAGTCTTTCCATTTTGTCTCGAACTTTTGCAACAAATAAAACAACGAAACACCTCGGACTCAGTGTGCAAGGTTTCTGTGCGTAACTGTTTTTAACAGATGATAGATATAAAAAGATGAATACGAACAATTTGGACTTGGTGTGCAAAGGCCTTTAACATGGAGCTCATGCAGTAACACATGAGATGGACTATGTCATAAAATTAACACAATCCAAGAAGGGATCACAGTGATGAAGAAACATCCGGGTGTCCTAGTTCAAATCAGTGCTTCATGCATTTATAAAATCTTTACCTTCAGCCAGGTCCTCGATGGCTTTCCGTACCCCTCTGTCAAACGCTCTGGCGTCAGCCGGGCTCTGGAAGGACAGGCCACACTTCCTGTCCTCCACCTTCCAATGGTGAAATGTGGGCGTTGCTATGGTGTACACCAGGTCCTTCCTCAGCGGACAGTCCAGGATCACCTATTGTAAAGAAAATTTCCATATAAACTTCCATATCTTATCCTTAAAGGAACTTTGATGTGCTGTTGTTGATGCCTGTGAGTTTTTACCTGTTTGTCCCGCAGCCGCTCACCACGGATGAGGAACTGGGAGCTGCTGGAGGTCGGCACGGGTGCCAGCTCTGGCGGCAGGAGGCGGCACACCCCGACCCTGCTCAGAGCTCCCCCATCCTGGGCCAGCCAGCCACCGCTCGAGTCGTCCCGCGTCATCACCACCGCTTTCACACGCACGATGTAGCTGTCACTGCATGGAGAAACAGAAAGAAGAAGGGAGTCAGCTACATTATAAGTGAAACCAGATAACCAGCTTCAAATAATAAACGAACGCTTGATACATTATTCTGATAAAAGGTTCTGTTACCACTATGTCCTGGTAATAAGTATGCACAACATAATCATGTAGGGTGTTGCCATATCTAAAATACCACCCACATAATTTCCTGTACACTTATTTTTACCAAGCTAGATGCCGTATCTCATTTCCATGTAAGTGAACTTCAAAATACACTTCAAAAGTATTATGAGTGATGCCAGTAAATATGTCGGCCAACAATGAAAGCGTTAGAACAGGAGGTATCAATCAACATTTAGGAGCACAACAAGCTCAAAATCTTCTCTATGCAACACCTGCTGACTGCATCTTAACATGGGGTAGGAACATAAATCTTCCACTTCATCATCTGCATAATAAGCCAGATAAACAAAAAGATACATAAACGATGAGCATGTGTATTTAAGCCATGGAACAAATATTTTCCATGCAATAAAAAAACTCTTTAGGCAACAAAGCTTCCTCCGCAGGCACAAACAACCATTTCATCCTGGCCTCCACTTGTATAAATCAACTATCCTGTACTCTCAAACTGTCCTGAGTCAAAGAGTGAGTTAATGCCACAGCAGTTTATTATAGAGCTGGATTCACACAGTGGCAGAATGTTTGAGGGCGTCTCTCAAGTCACGACTTTGCCTGGTCCTTGCTGTGCTGAGGTGGGAGGTGTCGCACCGGGACAAGTCAGCACAAACACACACACGCTCACACTTTAATGTAAATGTAGCTCGGTGTTACATTTTCTTTGGTGGCACTCACAACTTCATCGAGAGGAGAAATTCAACATGAGATGATCATTCAATTAATCAAATACGGTGACTATTACCTCAACTAAACATTTTCCTGTGATTATTGGTAAAAATGTCTGTTATTGGAGCATCCAGTGGCTTAGTGTATGTGTACTAATATATAATTAATCTGCAACTGCAACATCCCAGGTTCAATTCCTGCCAGAGACCTTTGTTAATGTCTCTATTCTCTCTCTTCCTGCATTTCCTGCTTGTGTCTCTACTGTCACTATGAAATTAAGTGTCACAATAATAATGTTAATAGGCTCTTCTCAAGTAGAATTACAATACTGTGATGTTTCCCTGCTTCAAAAATCATGAAACGAACGCTAAATAAGAAACAGAAATGTACAATTTGGCTCATCATTTGTAAGTACAAAAGTATTTCCCTACTGGAAAGATGGTCCATTCATGAAACTGGGCTGTCTATACAATAGAAAGACGCAAGTCCTTTTAAAGTTATGATCAGAGAAAAGATAGGAAAAAAGGGCTGTGGCATTTGCGTTTGCTCAAGAGGTACAAAACTTACAACTACCAGAATGCACTGCACCATACAGGACTAATAAACACTCCTGCTGGTGGGTGACATAATGTGGGCTTGTCCATTTTTACACAGGAAACAATATGGCGGCTGACTGATAGCAAACAGTCATGTACTACAGTTAAACGTTAAGCTAAAATATGTTTCTACAAACATCTGAGGTGAGAAATAGGCAACGCAGTCACAGAATCTTGGTTTATATTTCGTCAGCACTGCTTAGCTTTACTCTTTAATCTCAGTATTTTCAGCATTCATTTTTACAATGCAGGAAACAGCGTGGTGCCCACTTCCTGTTCATAATACTCATATTAGAGCCAAACAGTGCACTAAAATATGTTTCTGGTGACATTTTAGGCAAGAAATAGGCAAGACCGTTAACAGAATCTTGGTTTATATTTTATCAGCACTGCCTAGTTTTACTGTTTGATCTGAGTTTGGTTTGTATTTGGAGTCACTCTCTTGATCCGCTTCTATACTCTTTGTATCTGTGGTGGGCATATGAAAATGAGGAAGTACAATCTGTAGTTTGAGCAACAGCCCAAGAGCCAGCGAAGACCCAACTTGAGCTGAGAGATGAGCAGGGAAATGTGGGTGCTGGTAAGATGGAGGGAAGTCTACTACAGTTTATCTACAAAGTTGGTTAAAAAATGGCAAAGTATCCCTTTAATTTAAGAGATTTTCTGGTTCATTTAAAGACAACGCCAAATGCGAGGATTTGCTTCTTTTCTCTGCAATGTCAAGCCGACACCTTGGACTCTAGTGGGTATTTGCCACCATTTTCTGACATTTTATAGCCTAATTATTAATCACTTAATTACATAAATAAACAAATGCATTCATAATGAAAACTATCATTTATTGTAGCCCTGTTTTGTAGCCATAAACCAGAGTAATCATCTCCTAACTACACACCAAATAGTTTGTGAACTTGCAGCAGATGAGAAGCCAGTGGATTGATCGGACACGTTGCACAAACTGACTGATAACACAGCTACAGTTTGTGCTATACAGCTGTACTAAACAATACGTGACAAAAACTCCCTCTGCAGTCAGTGGAGTCGTCAGTGACTCTAACATGAGGCGACACAATGGAGGCCGAACGGTAAAACCCAAGACATTCTCAAGCATTAGCATGACAGCCACCACCCTCACAGGGACATAATGAACGCGGTCACAATCCACATGAATGATCTGACAATAACAGGATGTACCTCTGTGTATTCCATCGATGCTGTGTTGTGTGTACATGTATGTGTGTGTGGATTTGATGCACGCGCGCGCACACACACACACACACACACACACACACACACACACACACACACACACACACAAACACACACAGGTGGCAAAACTGGTTCACCAGCTCCCGCCCACACACATTCATAAAACTGTCTGAATGACAGACTGACTGACTGGGTGACAGAAAAGCAACTACAGATTCTCCCACAAGGTTTGTGATTTTGTGATAACACACACACGCACACACACATCAATTATTCACAGACACACAAAAACACACACACACTTAAAATAAATGCTACCTCTGAATCCAATTCAACCGACTACACTTTCCCATTCAGATATTTAAGTTGTGTTGTGTTTGGGCTCTAAAGACAAACAAGACAAAACCTACACGTTAAATTATTTTAAAGACACTTCTCAAGACACTTGAGATTCAATACTGGCCTAAAAACAATAACTGGAAGAGTAAAACTGTTGCACACTGGAGCTTTAGTGGTACTGTTTGTAGGCTGGTGTCATTTCACTTGTCATGTCAGACCATAATGGGCAGAGGCAAACAGTCATTCAGGTTCTGCTGAGCCACGAGGGAAACTTGAATGGCAACAAAGGAAATAATGGAAACTCAAAATAGAAAAGTCAATGATCTATTTATAATTCCATTATTTCATGATCTTGAGAGGAAGCAATCTAACTTACTTTACAGTTGCTGGCTGGAGGCTACAGTGCAGGGTGTATTGAGCATTAAAGTGGAGCTAGGCTTCTGGAAACGGACTTTTATAATGACTAATTAATATTATTTAATGTCTTCACAGCCAGCTGCTGTTAGATGTTGGACTAGCACATTACTGTGGTTTAAATTGCTGGTTAAATGCGTTAAATGCAAGGCTGCTCTGGGTGTGGATAACAGTGCATTTGCGCCATTTTTGTTGTTTCAAGTTGGTTCAAAGACCATGATGCAGGACGGAAACATCTAGTGGTGTAGCGGTAGTTGATGAGGTGGGTGTACTATGAGGTAGATGGGTCGGCTACCGAGGAGGAAGTGGGTGTACTCTTCTATATATTCCAAGTACTTTGTGGCTGATAGGTGGGCGTACTCTAAATGAACAGAAAAAGAGGTGGGTATACCCCTTATACCAACGTATTCTCTCCACAACACCACTGCAAACATCTAAAGGAATGAATGATTAAAGCCTCTTTGACCAAAAGCTTGCTACAGAGCTCAGTGTCTGATGCTTTTTGCGTTCATTGTGATTGTTTTACAGCTCCAGCACCTCCGCTAAGTCCGTTTCTTTTTCTCCATTTTTGAAAAACATCTCAAAAGACAAAGGGGATTAAAAAAGATGATTCGTGATAAAAAAAAAAAATTGGGGCTTGTTATTCAGATACATTTCCCTCACCCTGAAATAAACTTGCGAGCCGTGTGTGTGTGTGTGTGTATATTGTGTTTTGATGATGTTGGTGTTGGTTAGGTTTGCTGACCACTTACCCTTATCTGACAACAAATATGGTGACAAGAAACCACTAAACAGACTTTGTTTATAGGCCTGTCATGATGTTTATCGACTTATCTAGGTCACCAAAAATGATTGAGGTCATGTCCACATATGGTGCGATGTTATCCTTGTATTTATACGCATGTTTGTTTATGTAAGAATCTCACCAACATTTTAGCCAACATGATAAGACGAGTGCGGCACCTACACCTTTTTTTTTTTTTTTTTTTTTTTTAACAGCGCCTATAATATGAATGGAACAAACGTTCTTTACAGGTCTAACGTGTAGGACTTAGTGGCATCTGGCAGTGAGGTTGCAGATTGCAACCAACTGAAACTTCTCCCATGTTCCAAGCGAGAACTACAGTGGCCTATCTAAAGCCAGTGTTTGATTTGTCCAGTCTGGGCTGCTGTAGAAACAATATGGTGGACTCTGTGGAAGAGGACCTGCTCTGTATGTTCATATAAACAGCTCATTTAGAGGTAAAAAATAACAGGTGACTGTTGTTTTCAATATTATATTCCATTTCTGCCAATAGATGCCCCTAAATTTTACACATTGGACCTTTAAAATGGCAATACTATTGTTTATTACAATTATTTCTGGGACAATATATCGTCCAACAAGGTAGATATCGTGACAGGCCTAGTTGTATTCCTGTGAAAACCTATGTTGGTTTTCTGACAGTGACAAATGTTAGGTGTGAAAATCCACCCTGCTGCTTTCATATCAAAGCACCACAGCAGTTTTAACATGACTCAAACACATGTGCGACACCATTCACACACAGAACCACACATCCAGTCCACCCACATACAGAAATAACACCAAATTCTGTGCTATATAAG